TTCGGAGGTCCGAGTGCTCTACCGTCGAGCTACGACCCAAAAAGTTGATACACTTTGGGTCGAGCCTAGGTATATATGGAGTACTTCAACTCAGCACTTTGACTCGGACCGGCCGTATTCACGCGGCACTCCGGCTAGGCCTCGGAATCCACCGAGTACTTCGCCCAGCCTGGGGTATAGTACCGCATGTAACGCTTGAGCTAGGCCCCAGAGTCCACTGAGTACTTCGCCTAGGCCCAATTGTTACACAATCAGCACACCTCTGAAGAGACTTGTGCAGCTTTGCGAAAGACTTTCAAGACTTTGGCCATGAAAACCCCAATGCTGCATTGAGCAAGTCAAGAGGTGGATTCGATGACACAATCAAAGGACGATCGCAGAAAGTTCACAGCCAATCAGGATGCTGGTCTACGCCAAAAGTCTAGAAGGTGGTTGTTCTCATCATTGACGCCATGCGCTTTGACTTTGCCACCCAACTTGAGCGCCTAGACCACCGTGACCAACCAAGAGGCCCCTGGGTGCGGCGGCTGCCAATCTTTAAGCGCCTTGTTGCTGAGAAAGGCGCTTCCGCTGCGCTCTCAGGCTCCCCTCAGGCTTCAAGTTTGTGGCAGACACTCGGACAACGTCCCTGCAGCGCCTCAAAGGGCTGACCACAGGGCCCGGGCTGCCAACCTTCATTTACATCGGGAACAGGTGTGGGCAATCTGCCACCTTGCTTGTTGTCAGGTCCCTTTGGTGATTGGCTCAATGGGCATGTTCTGTTTTCTTCTTTCTGGATTGTCACGCTGTCTCAACCGCACCCGTGGAGACTCTCTTCGCGTGATCACATAGATGTCATTGACTGCCGCCGGCTAACTTACAGTGCCAGAGTCACTGTTACAGCAATTTGAGCAATGCTGCTGCCAATCCGCCAATCGCACTTTTAAGTAGCACGTCATGTATGTACATTGGTTTCATCCATTTTCTCCTGAAGGAGAAGACAGCTGACCAGTAGTCCCTGGTGCAAACGCTGAGTTTGCAAAGCCGTTGGTATAAGTGTGTGGCAGCTGAGCAGGGTGGCAGCAGACTGAGTGTGAGCTCCAGATTCTGTGGCGCTGGAGAAGTGTAAGCGTCACGAAACAGAAACTCCCCGAGGTGTGGATATCGCACATTCTTGTGTCAGAGCCATACACATCGTGGTCGTGTACAACTTGTCACTACCATCCAGGGGCATGACAAGTGTGACATGTGTACAATCCGGGCCCGGCATGGTTACACAACTTGTAAGCAAGGCCACATAGTCTGAGCATGCGTACCAGTGTGACACGACTTTGACACAAGCAGTGCGTAGATTTCAGAATGCACACCGTTCCCATATGCAGGAAGCACCCGACTTGTACATGTTCGATCCTAGCACTCAGGCCAGGCAGCCGGCTGCTGACCAAGTGGCGGACGTACCGTCGCGGCCGGCCCCTCGGCCCCGTGGCTGGTACCGTCGGTACCACCCGAGCTAGGTACCTAGATTACAGTAGGTACAAGTCGATCCCAAAGGTACCTACCGGACAGCATGCCCGCATATGACGGTGCAGGGAGTGTCCTAACCGCCGTGTCCCATTCTGACCACGTGATTCATCGGACGGCATATAATGGCATTGCTCAGCATGAATCGACGGTCGATATTACTCGTTACAAACGGCGCAATGGTTGCATGAAGCTGGTTCAAAAGCTGCTAGACCTGTAGGACTATGTATAGTCCTAGTTGACCAGCTAGCTGAGCACTAGGCTCTTTCAACTTTGCCTCTTCACCTCTTCCACTTCTGGTCAAAGCAGTCCGCCTGATCAGTGCATGTATAGCTTCAATTGCTGGCGCCTAGTAAGAGTTCAAGGAAGCAGGGGTATGGGCATTACACCACAAAGAAAGGGGCCTGACCGATAGACCAAACTGTCCAATGTCAGATCGAGGCCCGTGAGAGGCATTGCAACTTTGATTAGAACTTTGATTAGAACTTTGTTGGCAGGATAGCAGAACCAATCATGATTCAGAGGTTTTCAAGGATGTGTAAAGATTACAGGGCACTGCCGGCCGCCTGGAATGCACAGCTGCCAAAGGGAGATGGCAAGTTCTTATATTTAGATACTTGAAAAGAGGTGAGCTCCAGAATCTTGTCAGCCTGTCAGCAACTGAATTTAGCATACAGGCAAACATTAGATAGGAAGATTGATAATGGACTCTTCTAAAGGAGAGAGTACTAATGGGCCGTGAACATATACAAGTTTATCACTTTCATCATAATATTGCATATATATATAGGTGCAATCATATACATCTTCCTCATACTACCATATACCCCATATACCCCCCTTTCAAAGCATTCACCATCATCAATCCCCCTTAGGTCCCAAGACCCCCTATACTCCTATTTCAAAGCCTTCGTCATCATCAATCCCCTTTAGGTCCCGGGACCCCCTATACCCCTATTTCAAAGCCTTCGTCATCATCAATTCCCCTTGGGTCCCGGGACCCCCTATACACCCATTTCAAAGCCTTCATCATCATCAATCCCCCTTGGGTCCCGGGCGCCCCTATACCCCTATTTCAAAGCCTTCATCATCATCAATTCCCCTTGGGTCCCGGGACCCTCTATACACCATTTCAAAGCATTCATCATCATCAATTCCTCTTGGATCCCGGGACCCCTTATCCCCCCATTTCAAAGCATTCATCATCAACATTTTTTTCCTGTCCCGAACCCCCTATACACCCGTTTCACTGCGATCATCATCATCTTTCTGTCTTGGAGGTCCCGGGAGCCCATACACCACCGTTTCACTGCGGTCATCATCATCATTCTGTCTTGGGAGTCCGGCCCGGGATTATCGGGACCCCCTATACCCCCGATTCAAAGCCATCATCATCATAATTCTGTCTTGGCGTCCCATGATCCCCTATACCCCCGTTTCATAGCCTTCAGCATCATCGCTTTCCTTATCGGAATCCGCCGTAGGGCCAAATCGATGATAATGAACGGGTTGAAGTATAGTATAAAGGCCCAAGCATCAGCCCCTCCCCCCTTTCCCCCTTTATCTTGAACACTTCATCATCATTATTTTCTATAAAATTCCGCCATAGGCCAAATCGATGATGATGAACGGGTTGAAGTATGATATAAAGGCCCAAGCATCAGCCCCTCCCCCCTTCCCCCCTTATCTTTCTCTTTGAATCATCATCATTTGAGTATGTAAGCATATGTGATGATGATGAAGACTTTGAATCGAGTATATAGGGGTAGACAAAAGCCGTCTAAGTACAATTGATGATGATGAACTTAGTGAACTAGCTCTATATAAGGGTCGAAAACCAACTCAGGGGAATTGATGATGATGAACCAAGTGAATGGAGGGTATAGCAGATTGATTTGGCTTGTGGTTACGCTGACAAGCTGTGTAACCCGGATTTCACAATGAATATTGATTTTATTTTTTATTTTCTTAATAAATTTACTGTGAAAAACCCTAAAAATTATAATGATGATGAAAATGACAATGAATGTCTAATCTTGTAATCCTTTATTCCCCATTGGTACTTCCTCTTCTAAAGTTATTTGGGGTCTGCAAATCTGGACATACTGGACATAGGTCAGTTTGCACCTAAGCTGAGCAGACCGTCACCATTGCATGCGATGTCTGGAGCTCCCTTTGGGGATTCTAGGGAGTCATCTATCAATTTCACTCAATTGCAGTGTCCAAGTCAAAAACTATTGCTTTTCTACCACATACATTTGTTCAGCAGGTGACCAGCCAGTAAACTTTGAAGCGGCTGATTGATGCTTGAAATTTTGATGTTTAAGTTGATAATCAAGCCAGAATTGAGGTGCTGCAAATTGCATAGGCTTGATTGTTGCAAAAAGTTTCTTGAAGCTGGCTGAAGTACTTTATGTGGTTCATCAGTTGCTTTCATCTTGGTGTCTAGGGATGTGTTCGAAAAAATTGCTGAAACGTGTCAGCTCGGAGCCTCTTAGTATTCAACCATTCATGTCAAGTTTTGTGGGGCAATTCAAATCTGCCAGCGAAGCTTTCTCTTTCAAGCTCCAGCTATAGAACAACAGCTGATCAACCTAGGGTCAGTAGGGTTAGGTGGAGGTCTCTGGTGGATCTGCAAAGCTCACACAGTGCTAACAAGATTTTCTTTGGCCTCATGCAGATCATGTAGTGGATTTTGCTAGGTGGTCTTGAAGCATCAAAGCATGGTAGTCATTCAAGCTTGAGCGCTTCGAGTTCTAACTTGATGGTGCTTTTCAGTGCCAATTGTCAAGCACAGCCAGCTTATCGGCTTCTTGAAGTCGCAGATTGACCCATTTCAAGTGCATGCTAAAACCATGCCAAGATGATATTACCTCCATACATCAGCATACATGCTCGATACGAGCTCAATCCATAAGCAGGGGCAAGTGACTTGCAACGCACAAGGAATGTATCAAAGACGCACAATCTGGGCTCCCATCCTGTGCACCATGTGCACAGCAAATGCATGGTCAAAGCATGCTGCACCATACCCTCTGTGTGTGGTACACGACCGTGTATCCGCCATGTATAAATCAGCAAATCCCCAATACACGGTTGCTTCATGTACCACAGCGTACGATGATGATACCGGAATGTACAAAAATGACACCATGTATGTACCACGGCAAGTTTTGTGACGAGCCAACCGAGCATTCATTCAAGTGCATTGTTGGACTCAAACTTGAGTCAAAGGCACTGTCTGGTCACAACCGCTCACAACGTGATCATAAGCTATGATCGTGCACAGAGCGTCTGGGGCTTGTCTGGGTCCGTCAATTATTGCCTGGTCGTCAGTTGTCGTCCATCGACGCCGTGACCGACGCATCGAAGCTAGGCCAAACCGGGCACTTCGTCATGCTCGGGGATCCCTCTTGAAGACAACTCGAATCGACGGTTCACGGAAGGACGGCCTTGACACGGACGGCCGCGATGAAAACCCTGGGTTGGGTGGGACTCGGGATTGTAGTAGGTAGTAGCCTCGCGCCGCCCCGCGCGGCGGCCAAGCTGATCATGAGGCCAGCCGGTGCGCCCGGCCGCGACTTCTGCCGACCAAACCTCGCGGCCGGCAGGGCGGCAACTTTTGTCTGCACTGTCGTCGGCGTGTTGGATGACGGCGTTTCGAGAACGGTCGATAAGTTGGCGACTCGCTTCATCTGACGGTCGATCGACGATCACGTGGTCATACCATTAAAGTACGCGGCCGCGCGACGTCGTACAGCTAAAGCTATACTGTAGGCGTATGATGGAATGATGTGCTTGACGTCATGCGAAGGTATGAAACTTACTGTAGAAAGGCCCCATATAACTGCATGCACCGAGTCTCCGTGTGCCGAGGTTGCATGCACGAATCTGCATGCAGGGCTTGGCATGGAGCGAGTCGGACCCTAGCCTCTGGCCCAGAGTCTGGGCAAGGTTCGAGTTACCCGAGCAATCTTCCAGCTATAGGAACAGTCTCGCAAAGAGCTTTCTGCATGCGCTCCCGGTTGCGACCATTGGCATCTCTCCAAGGCGGTAGAATCGCTGGATTCTTTATGTGTCAAGCGAACGAAAAGCCTTCGCGTAGGAGTACCTATCGGTTTGACCACCTTGATCAGCGCGCAATCTGATTCATTTGCTTTTAGCAGCTGACTTTAGGGGCGATAGACTTCTGAAAATCGTCTGCGATCGATCGAAGCGATTCTCGTTTTGTACATCCAGCGTCTCCATATGAATTGAGCTCAGAAAGTATCTCTAGAAAAGCCGAGTGGCGCGCTAGGGGCTAAGGAAGGCCCGTTTATAAGAAGACACTTTCTATTTATCGATCCTACTTCCCTCCAAGCAGGCATGGCGTCTAATTTGCTTGGAGACCTGGCAAACCTGCTCTTCACCTTTGTTTTGTATCCTCTGGGGATTCTCAATCTGCTGTGGCTTGCCCCCCTAGTGGCAATCTGGCGCTCAACCTGGTATCTCCTGAAGCCTAAGACAAAAGTCAAGGGCAAGGTGGTAGTTGTCACTGGCGCGTCATCAGGCATCGGAGAGGTTAGTTGAGAGACTACAATGTTGATATCTGCACATCTTTGGAGCTTGCAGACGCCTGTGGTTTGCCGGAGCAGGACTCTTTTTAGCAACTTTCAAGAACAGGTTTCAGCTACTGAGATCTCATGGTTGAGTTTCGCTTTGCATGTTGGTGGTGTTCTATGAGGCTGCTGTTACAAAGTCATCAAGTATTTTGGATATTTCGGACTTGCTCGAGCCACAGGGCTTGATCGGAAGCTTCGCTGGCAGACTCGCTCACTGGGCGTTTGAGGTTTTGATAGGCGCTAAATATTCTGAAGCAATCTGGTCCAATGGAGAAATGTTGGGTGTCTAGCTGGTGGCATGGTTTTTTATAGTAGGCGCAGACCTTTTTTCAGCCCTGTGATGATAAGCTGGAGGGTTCAGTTACAATGAAGGACTAGGCTGGTTGAATAAAGATGCTTTGTCTTGTTCTAATCAGAAATACCTAAGAGGTTTTTAGCGACCTTGAAAAAGGACTGAGGTTACAATCCTCTTGAAGCTGACTTGAAGAGGCTGGCAGCTTGATGCAGTTGAGAATGTATATCATCGTTGCTTCGAAAAATCATACTCAGTGGCGTCGGAATTCCCTTCCCAAGATGAGTCTCATCTCTCATGCAATTGTGATTGTCATTGTTAGTCAGAACCTGATCGATTTTCTATCCTACACTGTTTGCTTCTAATATCGCTGCAATAAAACAGATTGCTTGTCGACATAGACAAACTAAGCAGCAACTTGAGCAAGGGATGCCAAATGAAAATAATCCTGATATATGAGCCTTGAGAAGTCGACTTTCTCTTGCTTTGACTGACGGCTCATGACGACTTTTTGGTTCGAAGCACAATGCCTGAAACGCAATTAAGTGCAAGTCAATGCAAGTAGGTGCATTTTAACTTCGTTCCTTTAGTGTGTCTGACCCCATGCGGTCCGCAAGCATCAAGGTTTGGCGCCTCATCCGTCCTTTTATTTCTCACTCGCCGACCTCATGCGTAAAAAAAATTGCCTGACCTAGTGCATCAACCTCATGCTCAAAACAGGGCGCTCTATAGTCCAGGAGGCTTCCCAAAAGCATTACTCTCACTTCCACTCTAGTCTTGCCCCACATACATGTGACTGCAATTGGGTGCGTTTTACAGTTCAACAGACTTCCATATGACTCTGTTGGACGCCTCCTACTTCGATGTGTTCTCCTGAATCTCCTAGACGCCATCCATTCTTTTCTTTTGCTGACGTCATCTGTTTCCCGATTTCCAGCACATCGAAGTTGATTCCTCAAAATCGCGGCCCAAAGCCGGTGATTGGGCGTGGCGCGAGGAGCGTCTGCAGAGCGTTGCTGGTTCCCTTGAGTTCTGTCGACGCCTCCCCTCATTTTCTTCCGCACCTAACCTTTGCTGCGTTATCGGTCATTTTCTTCCGCAGCGCATCGCTTTCTCGAGTTTGCGAAGTGCAACGCGAAGGTAGTGCTTGCCGCACGGCGAAAAAGAGCTCAGCAGCCTCGAAACATTCAACAAGTTCAGACGCCTTCACTTCTAAATCGTCTCCCTCAGCCGGGCTCACATTTTTTTTTCTCTGCTGACGTCATCTATCCTCCCTCAGCACATTGCGTTCGAGTTCGCCAAGCTCGGCGCGAAACTAGTGCTTGTGGCGCGGCGGGAAGAGCTTGGCGGCCTCGAAAGTCACACTCAACAAATGCAGACGCCTTAAATTTCAAATGGTCTCCTTTCAGCCCGGCTCACATTCTTCGTTCTGTGCTGACGTCATCTATTCTTTCCGCAGCACATTGCGTTCGAGTTCGCCAAGCTCGGCGCGAAGCTGGTGCTTGCGGCCCGGCGCGAGGACCGGCTGCAGAGCGTCGCGGAAATTTGCCAGCAGCTGGGCAGCCCGAACGTCGAAGTCGTGCAAGCGGACGTCCGAAAGGAGGACGACTGCAAGAAAATCATCGACCATGCCATCCAGAAGTTTGACAGACGTGAGTTTCACTCTTGGGACACTCTCAATTCTACTTTGTCTCTAGTCTCTTGGGAAGAAACTCCCGGAATGTCGAAGTAATGCAAGCGAACGTCCGAAAGGGGACGTCCGAAAGGGGGACGGCTGCAAGAACATCATCGACCATGCCATCCAGAGATTTGACAGACGTGAGTTTCTAGCAGAAAACATTTCCAGTTTATGTAATTACTGGTGACAAACCCCCCGCAGTGTTCGAAGCGGTGCAAGCGGATGTCCGAGAGCAAGACGACTGCAAGAAGACTTTCGCCATGCAATCCAGAATGAACCGACGTAGGTCTCTAGCTTGATTTCCTCGACGTCACTGGGTTTGAGGGGGGAATGCCCGTTGAGCAGCGCGCTGGACAATCCCTAGACAGCACTTTGAGAACGGACCGTCGAACCTGCGCCCACAAACTGACACGAGAGGGACTACTTCGTGATCATCGGCTTTGCCGTTTCGACGTTTCCGGGGTTGTTGATCCGGGGTTTTTGTGATGAGTGATGCTCAGTCCAGGCGTCCGAGTCAATCCATTCAAGGAGCGCCGTTGTCCTTCTAATAACGATAGAGATTGTCCTTATGAGAACGATCCCTATCGAAACGAGCCCTGCCAGCCAATCTAGAAAGTCCTCCTTATTTCTGGAAAGTGCTTAATCAGTCTCCTCCAGTTGTTCAAACGGAGGTCTGGTCTGTGCCAACTTTAGAGTCGGAGAGATGTAGTTCGCTCTGCTGGTAACATGAATGCAAACGGCAGTTTCCTTCCATTTTCCGCTAGCTTCGTTCTTACTTGTCGTCGCTGTCGAACTGGCCCCTGTTCCCAACAATCCTCTCATCGTATCCAACTTTTGGTGGCCTCAAAACCTCATATACATTCTCGGGAACCAAACCGAGCACTAGAGTGGTATCAGCCGAGCACATCCCAGAAATAAACCGAGCACTAACCTAAGCCCTCGCCTCTCTGGCAGTCGACATTTTCGTCATTAACGCGGGCGTGGCCCACTCTTTCTGGCATCGCCCGCCCTTTTCTCGTCCGCCCCATAATATTCTGAGCGAAACATCCCATTCAACCCTCACAATAACCCGCGGGCTGACCAAGTCTCTCCCCCTACTCCCCCAGTCGACATTTTGGTCAATAACGCGGGAGTCGCCCACTTGTTCCTGGCGAGCGCCGCCCCCAACTTCAGCCTGGAGAGCGCCAAGGAAGTAATGGACACCACGTTCTGGGGCCACGTGCACGCGACCCACTACGCGCTGCCGCACCTCAAGGCGACCAACGGACAGCTGCTCAACATCGTCTCGGTCGCCTCGTACATCCCGTACCCGCGCCAGGCTTTTTACAACGTAAGCCGAAGCCACAAACGACTGGTTATCTATTTCTGGTGAAGCTCGAGCTTATATCCACCTCAAAGGCTACAAAACATTTTACCTCTTAAGAGGTTTCTTGGTTGCCTAATGAAACTCTCGTAGCCCTTGGACTTTCTGGTTAACGTGTCAAAACATAGGCCCACCAAATTTTGACTACGCCGTTGCAGTGAGGCCCACAACAGTCTGCAACTTTGACGAGATCAGATTTTCAGGCCACGCAATCCGAAGAACGTGGCGCTCTGCTACTTACACTCATGCGTGCAGATACGGGCAATTTAATTGAGACACTGTCAAGACACTCTGAGCCGATCTTAGCGGGATCTTTTGGAAAATTATGTTGAGCGCCTGTTCAGGTTGGCAACTAGGTAGCTCTGGACCCTTAGACCTGTGAAGCGGTGGAGGGGCAGAGCTTGAGAATGATCAACCCGTTTCCATACCGAGCAGTTCGATCACACGCGCTAACCTAGCTTCTAAATCTGGTTTTGCGGCCGCGAAGCACGCGGCGCTGGGCTCCTTCGACCCGCTGCGCGGGGAGGTGGGCGGCACTGTCAAGGGGGCAGATTACTGTAGCACTGGGCCAATAACTTGCTTCCTCAAAAATCTGCTACTAACCATTTTCGCAACCTTGTCCTTAACCCTCTTTTGCAGGCGGCGAAACAAGCGGCGCTGGGCTTCTTTGACACGCTTTCCCACAGGCGGGCAGCACTGTTTGTGGGTAGTCAGCACTCAACAGCTCCGTGACCCAAGGTCCTAAACCCCCGCTAACCCAGCCTTAATCCTCATTTCCAGGCGGCGAAACACGCGGCGCTGGGTTTCTTCGACACGCTGCGCGCGGAGGCGGGCAGCACTCGTTTTGTGGATAGATTGCACTCATTTTCTCCGTGACCCAAGGTCCTAACCGTCCGCTAACCCAGCCTTAAACCCTATTTTCAGGCGGCGAAGCACGCGGCGCTGGGTTTCTTCGACACGTTGCGCGCGGAGGCGGGCAGCCGCATCACGGTGACCAACGTGCTGCCCGGCTGGGTGGCGTCAGAGATGACGGAGGGCAAGCTGCTCAACACCGACGACAAGCCCGCCTGGGACACCGGCCTGCGCGATGTGAGCTGTCCTTTTCAGGGTTAAGGACCTTAACCAAAAAAAGGGAAGCCGCTTTTATGTTGGTATGAAGGAGTTCCCAAAAATGAAGCTACGGCTTCTCTCTGATCAGCAGAGCAATTTGGAGGCAAGCTGCTGGAGGCAAACAAACTTTCGCAGAGGGTTGCAACAACCATTCGAACTTGGAAGAGTCTGGTTTCTATGTCAACCAGCGTAACGGTTGTGATTGGCGGTTGTTTGTCGAAATTGTCAAAAACCCTTTTGATGAGCGATTGGCCAAAGGAAGTTGTGGCTGACAGAAAATCTTAAGCCGTCGGAAGTTGTGAGCGATCTTTGGGGTTCAATAACCAGCTTTGAATCCATTGGAAGACTTTCTGGCGAGCACCACCTGTCTTGACACGGATGGCAAGCTCAAACTGCTTACGGTGATAACGAGAGTCGTTGACCTTTTTGACTCTCTTTATCGTTCCGATAAAGATTGACGTGCAACGTGCGACGCGCATCAAGAATTCTTTGTCTGTGGGACCCGACTGAGAACCGTTTCCTTCTTCAGTTGATTGTTTTCCTGCGCCATCTGGGCAACCAGGCGCTGAACTTGACGTAGGCCGCACACTCTGGCATCAGGGGCTTGCAACGATCCGGATTTCAATCAGTTCCGCTGACATTTCTGTGTTGCATTCCGCTGAGACAAGCTTCCGTTCCGTCTTGGCAGGAGCACGTGGGCCCCTGGCCGGTTCTGCCGACGACCGACCTGGCCAAGCTCGCCGTCCACACCGCGCTCAAGCGCGAGCGCAACGTCATCGTGCCCCTCTGGTGAGCCGCAGTGACCTCAGCTAGGACAGATCGTAGGAGTTCAATTGATTTGAGGACACCTGAAATCGTTTCAGCGGAGTGGCATTCCTTTTGAAGGTCGATGATACGGAGTAGAGCGTCGTATAAGGCGGTCTGACAAGCTTGAGCGGGAGAACTGCGTGAAAAATTTGCAAATGGAAAGGGCTTGGTGCTTGCCTTGTGACTGCCGAAGGCTTTGTTGGACCCGGAAACCGGTTTACAACACTCAAGAATTGGCTGCTGTTAGCGTTGACCCTGTGCTTTTGTGAGGTGCTCGTTTTGTAACTTCGACCGTTGAGAATGGAGTTTGTTTGAGTCGAGTGGGGAACGTTTCTAGAGTCGACTCGGAAGCGTTCCAGTGATCGACGAGGGTCGTTTCGTCGATCTTTTGAAAGCTTCACAGTTGAGGTCTGGATCGAACAAGACGTTTTGCCAGGCTTTCGTCAGGCGCTAGTACGTTTTCTAGGGACAGGTGGCATCATGGACGCAGTGTGCCACACTTACCTCATGTGTCAGAACCGCCTCTTCTCTGGCACAGATCTTCTTGAAGTGGTTCGCTTCTCTGTCGAGGACATCCTTATCGCCCCCGCTTCCCTTTGCAGATACACATTGCTCTTGTACATTTGAGTGTTTGCCTCGGAAGTTCCCAACCGGAGCTTCCAGTTACTTTGTCAGAGATCGCTTTTTCTTTTGAGTAAAACATTTGCTACTCGTCCGCTTTGCGTTAAACATTCTTTTCTCGTCCGCTTCCTCACGCAGGTACACTCTGTTTTTGTGTTCCCGAGTGTTGGCCTTCGAAACGCTCCACTAAAGTTTCCAGTTGCTTGCTGCGCTAACCAGTTCTTGTTCAAGGAAACATCTCATACTAGTTCACTTTTCCTTGCAGGTACACCCTCTTCCTGTACTTCCGAGTGTTGGCCCCCGAGGCACTCGACTGGAGCTTCCAGCTGCTGTTCGCGAGCAGCGAGCCCGGAAAGTCCGCCCCGACCAAAAAGATGGTTCAGATGGTGGGTACCGAGACGCTCAACATGCCCCCGCCCGGTACCCAGGAGCGAGCTACCGAGGCCTTCAAGGAGAATCTGAAGAACCGGGCCTGGGACGGGAACCATAAGAAGAGTGAGAATGGGAAGCAGGAGAATGGGAAGCAGGAGAACGGCCAGCAGAATGGCCAGAAGAAAGAGCAGTAAATGGTTCTGGCATGCAAGGTTTGTGACTGAAGATAGTCGACCGGAAGGGAAGTTGAAGGGTTGAATGGACGGATAGAATATGCGGGTTGGGCGATAGGAACGTTTTGTATAGTACAGGCTGTTTTGGGCAAGCTTTAGTGGTTTGTTGCGAGAATACGTGCCAAGACTCGCACGATACCATGTAAGATAGACGCAAGCGACGTTGAGAAAGAAAGCGGCATACAATTTTGCCGACGAGAAAAAGTAGATTATGACAGCTGGTTTTGATGCAACCCAATATGCAGATTCTGTGTTCGCGTCACTCAAGAGGTTGACTCCGAGGCTTTTGTCATTCCATCAGTAGATATCCGTGCTGCAAATCGTACGTGATACTTACCGAAAATCTATTGTATTCACAGGCCATGATGAAGCATCGTTTTCGTGCATTGGAAAAATGCGTAGCCGGCGCGATTGTATGCTTTCCATCTTGCAGAAACAGTTCATTTTCCATTTCGTCTATAACTGGCACCCCAGAAATGCTCGAATACGGTGGCTTAGCTAATCTACCAGGTTCAGTTTACCTCGAGATACGAACCTCAAGGCCTTCCAACAAGATACCATTGAGTTGCCATGATACCTAATGGCAATCCAATTTGCATTTCGGCCGCTCTAGCTATGTAGTTCGTAATCTTCCGATCTCTTTTTGATCGGAGACAAAACTACGCACTGATCATGCAATTCATATAAGACTTAATCGTTGGCTTTGTATGCGGTCTGTACTTGAAACATGGCGCGGTGGTGCTACGGCGCCGCATGCTGGCCGCCTAAACGTAGAGAATATCGTCAATATTCGCGAGTTCATTTATCCAATGCTGCATCAAAAAGTTGGCTTGTGCATGCCTGTGCTCACCGTCTGCATATCGGCGTGTAGCATCCGAAGGTGGCTGCGCCCCGTCACACGCAGCTGATAAATTCCAATACCCTGGCATTTACCAAGACGTAACAATTACTAGGGTCGCCCCAGAGTGGACTTTAGAGCAGAGCAAAGCAGCGTGGGTAATCTGGTTAAAGCTGACCTTGTTGCCCTAGTAACTTCAGTGAAGTCAGATCGAGAGCGGCCGGCTGCTGCGCCGCGCTCCGAGCTGGCCCGGGGCCGGCATCGTGGCCCGGCGCGCCCGCCAGCCGCCAGGCGGCCGCGCGCGGCTGCGCTACGTACTAGTATATTTCAAATATAAGTTTCCTACAAACCCCCGCGGTTTCAAAACCTAGGCCCGAAACGCGCGGCGGGCTCTTTTAATTGGGCGTCGAGCTAGGCTGACCAGTCTTATTCCACGCTCTGATTTCTGATGGGAAAGCTTGACTATAATGGCAGCCGTCAAATTGACCAAGATATGGCAGGTCACCGGCATTGCGGCAATCCCTGCGCCTAATCGCTTTACAGGTTCTCCCGCAAAATTTCCGCTAGGACGATTGCTAATTCACTCGTGCGACTTTCAGCGCTTGCAAATTCCAGAGACATTTGAAAGAAACGTGGATACCAATGACCAGAGTCTTTGGCGGCCTGAGAGGAGCACATTCAGCGCTTCGGCAGGCGCGGACGCACTTGCGCCCCCTCCCAGCTTGCTTTGCCACGTCAGCATGTCCGAGCCTATCAGGCTGCAAGCTCCCTGCGCCAACGTGGATAGCTTTCTCTCTTGGACAGCTCCCCCACTGAAAGCAGCAAACAACGTTTCATCCGTTGCTATCAAGGGGGAGGAGAGGGCAGATCAGGTTCTGGTGAGCAACGACAAGGAAGAGAGAAGGTTTTGTCAGACCTGCTTGCTCAGAATGCACAATGTCATTGTCATCCCTTCTCAGCTCACATTGCTTTGGAGTCTTCGCCTTTCGCAAAACTTCTCCTTGACGACACAATCCTACAGCACTAGTCAAATCTCCAGCTTGAGGTGGTAGAAACGTGGCCAAAAAGACTCATGTCTGAGATCACTTATGTCAGCCTACTCAGCGCAGCTGATGCTGCATGACTGAGCCGCTAATTTTCCAGGCGTTGACAGCCCTTCCTTATCGAGAAGACTTTCGAAGGACACTGAATTTGCAAGTGACCTTGAGGCCTCGGAATATCCACTGAAGATACTGAAAATTGTTTCGCCTAATGCCAGACTTAGAGGCGCGTCCTCAGCGTTGACATTTTTTGGATCTGAAACTCTCCTTTTTGAATCGCTTAGGTATTGGCAAATCGTGATAATCTCGATATCGAGTGCCGGCCTACAAAGCCACCGGTAGCCTCCTCGGGATTCTGGCCCTTTCCACGTACGAGGCACCCGTTTTCAAGGGTCAGACCTGTTTCGTTTTCTTAATCTGAAATAGAGACCTCAACCCTCCGTGCTTACAATATCTGCCGAGGAACGCCTAGATACACCAGCCTCTCTTGTTTTTCACCTTTACTTTCTTGCACTCACTCTTGCAGATTTCGCAATTGCTCGTCTTCGTAATCTCCTATTCCACGTCGACTGTACTTCTTGGTCCAATGGCCACCAAGTTTGGTGAAAGATTGGCGGAGGGTTTGGAAGACACCTGCTTGAGGCGAGCGGTGCGAAAGAGCCTGCAAACGCCCTTCGAGCCCTTACTGCTGGTTCATAGCGTTGGAACCCGTGAGTCCGACTTACATGTTAAATGGTTTTTGTTCTTGCTTATCACGTCATGGGACTTGGGGACAAGAATTGACGCTGAAAGACGAGCTCGCCTTGTTTCTGCTGCACGGGAGAGCTTCTGGCTGGAACCGATTGTTTGTCAATGGGTCCTCCGAGTTCCTAGTTTCCGTGAAAATTCCATGTTTCGTGCCATATTTTAACCGAGATGACTGCAGTAATAGCTTCATTGCTCGTCCGTACTTGCTTGTACGTCGTAAATGATCTAATCATCTGCCTGATAGATTCAAATGTCCGGTTCCTTTCCTGGCACTCTCAAATAAAAGCGACCCTGCAAGAGCCAATTAATCCCCTAATTCAGAGTTGACATCGGGAGCGGGGTGAAGCTTCATCCTGATCGCCGCGAATAGAGCAATTGCTAGACCCTTGACGAAACCTTAACCTGCTTTCCATGCCCGGATTTTCTGCCAGCAATTCCGTACCTGAGGCGGTCTGACGTCAGCATCCTGGAGGAGTGCGCACGCGCGGCGGCTGGAGTTGTCGTGCTAAGAGGTGTCGGAAGAACAACGGAAGTGCGGCAAGCGGCCGCCGGAAAGCGGAACGTGTTGTACGTGGCGCTTCGGAGTGCCGCCGGTTTGCTAGAAGAAGGAGTGAAGTACGCTTTGGGTGAGGGCACCTTCCGTGTTCTAGCCTTGGTTGAAGCCCTGCTTGGTTGGGGGTTGTCTTGATTGTACGCTTTGGTTGTTTGTCTTCTTCTGTAAGCTATTGCCTGGTCTTCCGCTTCGCACGGGTTGCTTTCTAGACCTTCTGCTCTTTCTAAAACCTACTCGGTTGATCTTCCGACGCTTTGAGGATAAGCACAAAAACATGCGAAGCATAATGTAGTTCTGCTTCATCCTCTGTTCAAGCATAAGATCAACACAGAACCGCATGTGCTTTTTTGAAAAAGCTAGGCAGAGGCTCGACAGCCCGAGATGAAGTTCACGTTGTTTGCTAGATCGTAAAAGTGGACTACTGGCGTCTGATTCGAGGACGCCTCTTCTTTCTCGAAGCACGACGAGCCTGAAAGTGCGTTGTTTCGGAGAGTGCCGCATCAAATTCTCTACAGCAGTGTCGAAAGCATTCAACTGCTCTTTAGCTGGGAATCTTAAGAAAGTTTCTGACACGTTCGCGAGTCTCAGGTCTCTCCCCTTTCGCATGGAAGGAAGTCGGTCTCGATCGCATCATCCCCCTGATCAAGCAAGGATGGAACCGCCGCTGACGTCAGCCACCATTTCGATGTCTTCGGATGCGCTGACGTCAGCGGATAAGCCCTTGGTCATCATTGACGACTCCCACATGCTGAGCTGGCAATCTAATGACAGAAACGAGAGAGAGGCATATGCGAAGTTGCGGCTCTTTCTGGACCTTGCTTGCGAAGGCTACTGCCACCTCGTTCTGGCGACAGAGGAGGATCTTGAACCTGCAAATCTTTCAGAACGTGAGTCCATTATACTTTCTTCTTTCTCGGTGTGTTGGAAGGAACGATTTTTGATAGAACAAGCTGCTTTCACCGGTCCCTGAAACGCAAAATTTGACGTGCTAAGGAAAAGATGACTTAGAATCTAGTACGACCTAGGCATGAGCTGCGTTGCAATTGAGGATGGCAGAGAGTGTTCATTAGTCAGTAGACATGCTCTTGGACCCGGTAACAAATCTTCGAAATCGTCGATCGATGGGGACAGCCCCAAAGTAATTGCAAACCTCTGGATCTTTCGATGGGGTTAATTGCATTTAATGCTCTCTAGCAACCGCACAGGTGGGCCCTAGATTGTGACGGCGACGTATTGGGGGTATCTTGTGTGAGGGCGTCGCCGCGTTTCTGGACTTTTGCCTTTTGAAAACTGCCTGGTTGGCAGATGCCAAAACGTTTGGGTCAAGACAGGAGAAACGTGCTTGCTAACTGTTATCGTCTTCTCCTTGCGCCTTGCCACAGGCAGTGGCCTGCAACTTCTCGCGAGCCCCGTTAACTAGTACGTTCCTTTAACTCAAGAAGTGGCTACCATACCGGACAGGGATAGGCTGACGCAGAACATTCTCGACGCTTCGTCTGCGGACATGTGGGACACGTTACGAAACTCGGTTAATGTTGTCGAGCACCCACGCGATTTCATTCTTTACTACGTAGCTTACTATTCGCACTTCTATTCACAACGTAATTCATTCTCCACAATCCCCACAGTGCTTCAGCGCTACGAGGCGCGTTCTGTAACCCTGGAATACCTCGGGGAGAAGGAAGTCAAGGACTACCTCAGAAATGCAACCCCCTGGAACGATGAGATGATTGGGTCTGTATACGAGTACTTCGGAGGGGATATGGGAGAGATCGGGTGGATCGTCGGTCTTCACCTTCGGCGAGAGGCAGGCTTAAGCGAGAGCGAAATCAAAGGTGAGCATGATTAAGTATGACTCAGCATGATTAGCTCCTCTGGTTCGAACTTTGCGGCGGTTCCTTGCCTGAGATTCTTTCCTTGGTCTTCGGCTTCTTCTCGGACCAACGATGGGAGGGGCTCAAAGGTCTTTTAAACTCGGTAAGACGAGGTGCGCTCGTCAGTGGGTCACGCTGAAGTAAGGTCTGGTCAATTGCCGTCCTACCAAGGGATCAATTGAGATTCAAAGCTGCATGTACCAGTCGGTCATAGACGGTTAACTTAAAAGAGGGAGTCAACGGCGAACAAGAACAGTCACGTATACAGCGGCCGAGATCACTTTCAAAATAGGATCTTTGCGGCTGGTTGTACCATGACAGAAACACAGACACTGCAATCGATTTCTCCGAGCCCAAAAGTCTACCTTGACAATCAAATGCTCTCCGCTCAAATTCAGTCTCGCTGCATGCAAGGGCCGTATGGAAGCACCGTGACTTATTGAAACCGCCTCGCACGCTGAATGCAGAGCACCTCGATGAACGGGCCACACGCGTGCGCCACCGTATTTACTCTGCCTTGGAGGGGCGCATCATGACGAACGAACCAGATAGGGAAATGTCTTTGTATTCACGAGACGTGATGCTTGACGTCCTGTCTCAGACGGCCGCTCAAGCGCCTGAGCTGGCCAGCGTGATTGACGGACGTGTGCCGTCTACGGACGTCTGGGAAAGCGTGGCGGAAAAACTCCGGGGGACAAAGGTCCTGTGGCGAAATGCAGACGCCACTTACGCGTTCCGCTCCCCGTTACTGCGAAGAGCGTTTGTGGATCTAAAAACCCGTGAGGAGGAGGAGTAGCTTGCCCGGCCGGCCGTTTCCGGTCTCGCGACCGGTGCTTGAAGCTTACTGAGAGGATGAGAGGGACAGATATGCAGTCATATAATGCCCGCTGATGGGGTATCGGCTAAATCAAAGTTGCTAGCAGTACCGCATACCCAGCACCAAACATGAGAACCGGTTAGCAGTGGGCCGATTCCCTGAGGTCGAGATTCTCCCGCTGGAAGTACAAGTTTTATTCAGCGGTTACAAGAGAGCCCGCGAATGACGATCTGCAGTCACAATTTCATCGATACGTTTGAAAGATCGAAGTTTGGCAAGTCTGCGCGCGCAACTTAGATTGGTCATGAGTCAGCACAAGGACAGTAACATTGTCAGTATGAAACAAGAAGCTAGCGGTATGACAGTCGCTCAACGAAAACCATATACCGTGACTGGCGCAAAACAAAAAGGGACCGGCCATTGGTTTGTTGCATGAGCTGCACATGTGCCGTACTGCCATATAGTCAAGTCCTTATATGCGAGATGATTATATCGCAGCCGAGTGCTTATAGTATACACGCACGAACCCATCCGATCCAGTGCGTCCGAATGTGCATGATTCTCTTCGCGATTGTGCAGTAAGCCGACCATGTAACCTTTCATCGCTCATGAGCGCGACCTTTTCCCATATCCTCATGGCATGCGTAGGATATACTCAAGGACGTCCCCAGGGATCAGCAGAACTACATGCATGTGTCCAGCTATCTCACGGCACGCACACCGTCTACGTTCTAGGATGCATTCTCGGGCCAGGGACCGAAGTCTAAGGTCCAATCTAAGCTGAAAGGCTGCATCATGCATCTCGACTTGTTCGGATGATATTTCAGAAGCGAGGACTTTGTCGTTGATTAATTGACCTGCTAGCGCGTCGTCCAGAACCTCACTCTGCAAGTTTGGATAGTCATTTTCCTCCGACATTTTCAAGTAAGTGGTAAACCTCGTCAGTATTCGGGCCGACCTATGTGCCGAACATTGACCCCATGGTTCGAAAACCTCGTCACCTGAAGGTAAGGGTGCTTTCTTGGTATTGATAATCTTTGCTTCAACTTACACTACTGAGCGCTAGTAGTTACCGATCTTTACTCACTGACTTGCTATCAAAGCAACTCGCTTCACCTACTCCTGTACTTCTTACATGACAGAGAAGCACACAACAGCCGGTGCAACCGTTTCAATTACGCTGTCAGTTTGTGCTGTTCCTAACCGACCGCGCTCTCTTCGTAATCTTGGCTTCAAGGACGTCAATGCCTCCGTAACCGCCGTGGCCGTTCCCGCTTCCATTTGCGGCTGCTGCCGTCCCGTCTTCTTCCTGGAAGGGCGTCAATGCTACATCGTCAGGTCCTTTCAAGCTCAAACCCGAATGCTGACTTCCCTTTTCCATCATCGCCCCAAGCCACTTTCGGCAGGTCGTCAAAGGTCAGAAAGATTGCTTTGTCTTCTAGCTGAAAGCGCAGCACTACGACCTGATGCCTGATCCAAGTCCTTAACAGAGTCGACTGCTCGGGCATTTCTGTTTTTGTTTCCCGACGCCGTCCGGAACGAAGAGAGTCTCCAGGGGCGGAAATCGAATCATGAGGAAAGCCACTACGCAGCAAAAGCATACTCTGAAGTGAGCAGTGGGGAGGCAGTCCACAAGCGAACCCTACACCCATCCCTGCGCCGCACGCCCATCACGCTGCCATCGTCAAGACTTGTCCGAAGGCTAATTGGTATCATCCGGTGTTCTCGACGCGCAGGCTTCGCCTGCCCGTTCCGTCAGTCAGTTGCAGAGACAGCCCCAAATTATTCCAGATCCATTAACTGCGCCTGTCTAAAAGCTCGTCCCCTGCTCAATGATGGACTATTTCAGGAGATATAAGGGCCAAGAATAGTTAACTCCGACCAACACAAAACCCTTAACCCAGCAATTCACCTGCTCCACACCGGTACCCACCCTACTTCCCAAACTAAACTAGCCCCACCCGTCTCAGGCTGGTGAGCTGATTATTCCTGCCGCTTAGTAGTCCGAGCTCTCCGCTCACCTCTTCCGAGTCGGGCACGACCATGTCCTCCTCCGCAGTCTTCCTCGCGACGCTCTTTCTCTTCCTGCCCCGACCTCTTCCCCGGCCTGCGCCGCCCCTGCCAGAGCCCCCGGGGCCCTCCCCCGACTGCCTCCTTTGGGCCCGGGCCGCGTCGTTCTTGAGGTTTTTGAGGAGCATGGCAAGGTCGGCCAGCCCACCGCCCAGTTCGATCTGCTCGGCCTGAGGAGCGGGAAGAAGACGACCTCAGTAAGTGGGGCAAGATTTGGAGAATGCAGGGTTCGTTCTTGAGGTTTGTGAGGCGCATCGCAAGGTCGGCCAACCCCCCGCTCAGTTCGATCTGCTCGGCCTAAGGAGCGGAAAGGAAAAAGCTTAGGATCAACGGTTGCCAGATCCAGACAATAGGGGTCTGGTTGTCCAGGGTTCTGAATCTCAAAATTGTGAGGCTTGGAGTTTGCTGTTCCGGTTTGTCCTCAGGGCGTCGGACGTTTGCGATTCGGATCTGGGCCACACGACCCCGGATTGCAGACTTTAGCACTTGCGACACGCCGAAGAGCGTCAAAGGATTTCGGGCTTCGACGAGATCCCTGAGCGACGGGAGAGCGCTCTTTACTTGATGCAGAAAGAAGCGCTTCAGATAGAGGGCTCTGGTAAAGAGCACCTATTGCCGCGATAAGATGGCCGCAAGGAAAAGCGTCCTACCCAATAGCTCTTTCCACCTAGATACTCAGCCCCATGCAGCAAGCTAGACTTTTGCCAACTCAGTGCCTCCGGAAAGCCCTTCTCTGCGCAAAAGCGACTGATACCACCGACCTTTGTCGTGCTCTTTTAAGACAGTTCTTAGTGCCGCAGCAGTTATTGCATAATGTGGTACGAATTATACCCAGCCCGGTACGTACCAGCATGTCCCGCAGCACCTCCTCCCCGAACGTCGGGTACTTGGCCACCAGGTTTTGGAACTCCGCCTCTCTCTCCGTCTGCTCCAGAGCCGCCAGCGCAGAGTCTTTTCCCTCGCCCTCCCTAGTTGCACCCTCCCCTGTCTCTCTCTGCTTCTCAGTCGGCCCTGCCCCGTTCACACCGTTCTTGGGGAGCCCGTTCACACCAATTCCGCTCCTGCCGGTCCCGTTTGCCTCCGTTCCGTTGAAAGCCGTTCCGTTCTGGCCCTTTTCCCGGTGCCCATTCACACCGGTCCCGTTCTCACTCCCAGCGGGCAGCCCATCGGCGCGCCCCTTGCCCTTGCGTCTCCGCTCCAGGTCTTCCTCACTCTGCTCGTCTACGTCAGCCTCCGAGTTGCTGACGTCATCGTCCGCTTCCTCTCCGTCTTCCTCCGGAATTCCGGCCTCAACAGCAGCCTCTCCGCCCTCGGCTTCCGGTTCCGCTTGCTCCCGGGCGGCCTTCTCGGCGGCCGCCTGGATGCCAGCAATGATTTCGACCATCTCGCGGTTCACCTGCGACGAGGAACGGAATTGGGGCTTGGAAGTGTTTCGCATTTCCCTTTGTCGAGCAGCCGCAGTGGATAAAGCACATGTTTCATGTAGCCAAGATTCGAACCTTGGATTCTAGGCGCCTGCAAAATTACTAACAGAGAGGGCGTGAGAGTCAATCGGCAGGCGGCCAATTTGAGAGCGGCGCACGACAGGCCGTGGGCAAGAGAATACAGGCTGGCTTGTTTTGGGTGAGCTTTTTGCATCACTCCAGCCGCGGTTAGCTGTCAAACTGGGTAGTTTTCGACTGCCGATCTCATGAATCACAATTTGCTTGCCCTGAACGACCTGTTTCTCACAAGAACGTTCTGATCAGAGCCTTGCCACCGCTCAGATTGTCACCTAATTGCTTGCATCCACAACGTCCTAAGCGCCACAATTGTGACTGACAGCCTTGTCTGGCGAAGCTTCTTCACAGCAGGAATATGTTCCGTCACTCGACACCGAACTTCGGACTTATACCCACCTGCGGATTGCCCATGAAGTCGGTGATGTCCGCCTTGCACGCGGGGCAAAGCTTGACCACCTTCTTGACGCGCAGCGACCGCGCGCCCGCCCCCCGGTCTCGAAGCTCCTCGCCTCCGGTGGCGGCCTCCAGGCACGACTTGCAGAAGTTGTGGCCGCACGGGGTGGTCAGCGGGGCGGTGAGAACGAAGCGGCAGCGCTGGCAGCCAAACTCTGCGAGGAAGAAGAAAGTTGCGAACATCTTAAGTTGAACCACTTCACGATAAAGAGTGCGGATAAAAAGGTGGACACTTGGACTTGCAACAACTGTGGCCGCAGGGGTTGGTCAGCGGGGTGGGGAGAACAAACGCAGCGCTGGCAGCCAAACTCTGCAAAAAAAAGGAAGTAAGCATTTGGATCCAACTGGCTGACTCTTGTGGCCGGGCGTATGCAAGAAACGTAGCTGCTTGGATCTTTGAGAGCTGACGAGTGTCGAAAGATTAGTAAAGTCGCTCGAACACTGGAAACTGCCCCGTGGCTGACATATTAGCAACTGGTTTTCTGGTGTTGCTTCGTATTCACCTTACACAATGTGCGCCCAAACCCTGCAAATGTCGAAGTTGTAGACGCCTATTGACCACATCTTTCGCTGATAAATTCGACGAGTCTGTATTCGATACTTCGGTTCTTGGCCTGACCAGACGGTTTATCTATGTCTAGATACAAGTTTCACACATCCTAGGCGTTGGATCGCGTCTCCTGATCCAGCTTACCTCGCAACAGCTTCTGTTGCAGGTTGAGTGTCCGCTTCTTCTTGGCCCCCTCGGTCTGGCTGCGGCCGCCCGCACGGCTGGCGGGAGGCGGGCGGGTCCAGCCCCATACGCCCTCGTCCTCCTGCATAAGCGATGACGCGGGTATAATAGCCTTTCTGCTGTGCGTACAACTGACTCACTCAAGAGCTCGGAAAAGGTTGGATGGTGCTGTGGGCGACCCATGACAATCCCTAGCGCAAAATCCGGATCGTCAGTGAACCATCGGATCTTTCATTAAGCAGCCTGAAATCAAAGACACCCCGGATGAATGAAGCCTGGACACTAGTCGCTAGCCTGGAGTTCCTCTGTACCCTCGTTTTTGCTCAAAGAAGCTTCTAGACGTAGGGAATAAGGGAAGTATCGCAAAAGCAGCACAGCAAAAGAGAGAATCGCAAACATCGAGGTTGAGCAGGAGACGATAGCTGGAATGAGACACGTTCTCACTAGCCGAAACAGTGCAAAAGCTCTTTCGACTCGGCCTATGCATACCATGCACGATCAGATTCGAGCCATCCGCTGGCCGCTGTAAGTTACAAGCCAAAGCACCGGAACGGACTGGACGCCGTCACACTCGACACATAGACCGTCCGATCGGGGTTCTATCGGCAGCAATCCTTAAGTCTCCTTTGAGAATGACGCAGTAACTGGACAATCCTCCATGGACTGGCAAGTGGTATAACCAGAAGAGGAGTGGACCTACTTTCCAGTCCCACGCCGGGGCCTTGCTGCGCTCAAAAATATCCTTTGCTCCCTTCAACTCGTCAACCATTGGGAGCTTGCGGGGCCGGTCGCCGATTTCACCACTGCACCGAAAGCGGAACACAACTTGACATGTGGTTCGGCAAGTGCTGGCATCAGGGCAAGAAAAGCTCTGTTGGCGCTCGTAACTAGGCATCCAAGGAAACGAAACGGAGTCGTCTGCATGAGGGAAGAACGCAGACGACTGCCGTGGATACGTTTCTGGTGCGATCGGATTGCTTGAGGGCGGCAAGAATCTTGGTATCGTCTGAGTTAAACACCACAGGCCTCTGGAAGGGTCTCCATTCACCCTTACATCAATCCAAGTTCCGGCCATGTATTGGCATTTCGTGTCAAAACTACATGCCTTGAATTGTTGGAAACGAAGCGGCAACTCACGAGTCCCAGGGGGCCGGCTCGTTGTCGCAGCGTACAAAGAGGAAGCGGCACATGACGGCGTTCTGCTTCCCGGGCTTGCGCCAGCACTTCTCGATGCGGTAGATTCCGTCATAGCGGACGTTCTCCTTGGGGGCATAGCTCGACTTCTTCTCCTTGTGTGACCTGCAGCAGACGAAGAGCATACGGCACCGTCAGTGGTGCTTGAGAATCTAGCTCAGGCATCTGGAGGCAAATCTGGCTTGGACCGGGGCCTTCCTTTATGTGTGTGAATAATCGACCGGCTTACTCGTGGTGCAGCTCGTATAGGTCATCTGGAGTACCCTGGACTTGCCAATTCGCCCTCTGACTGAGTATATTAATTCAAGGGAATTGGGAAGGGTGCTTGGAAGCGATCCTGAGAGGCACTGTTTCTTGCACCTGCTTGAGAATGACCTGAGAATGGCTCTTCGAGCTACATAGACCTCATTGCAACGCTGCTGAGATGCACTCATCCGGTTGTGCTCGTCATCCAAAGCACTACTGTAACGCCCTCGTCCACCTGCTCTGAGGTTTCGGGGATACACACCGTGAAAAGCTTCCCTGCTTTCAAGTGTTTCAATGCCACAATTCTCTGACCTTGCCAAGACATCCCAACAAGCCAACATCAGCGCTGATCCAATCTATCAGTTGCTTTGAATCAGAGGCGCAGTCCTGCGGAGCCTCACCGGACAACGCGTAGGGGGTAGCCCTCCCTGCAGCTGACTTTCAGGGCCTTGTTCATCTTCTCAAACACCTGCTCCTTGGATTGCTCCTTGTTTGTCCGCTTGTTGCCGCTCAGATCCCGGCCCCCACTGCGACACAAGCAGACAATTTGGTTTATGATTTCCACAAGGGAAGATCAAATCTTTGGCCACTGGAAAGGCCCCACATGAAGGATCCCAAACAATGCTCTTGTTTCAAAGAGATTGTCTCAGCAGTGGATGAAGCCTACTAGACTAACAAGGCTGTTGTTCAAGAGTAACCTCCAGGGCTTACAGACTGGCGACTGGCTCTGATTAGATATTTTGGTCACCATGACCCCTGATGTAAGCAAGTACCACCATCAGAAAGTCCTCTCTTTGGTATAAGCTTCATCTGTTTCATGCAGCCCCAGAGAATCCCATTACGCACCTGCCAGTGTAGATGAAGTACTCCCCGTGGTCCTCATCGTCCTCATAGCCCCCGGACAGCGCCACACTCTGCGCCCCGTGATCCGACTGGCCTGCTATCCCCGCCACGTGGGGAAAGTGCGCGCCCCACTGCCGGCAAGCCATGCGGTCCGTCCATTCTGCCCCAACGAGGACCCCCGTGTTGTTGACTGGATCATACTCTGCTGTGATTGGACCAAAGTGGTCCGGAGGGATGGTGACAAAGATGCGGCCGCTGCAGGCGTTGGCGAGTCCGGTCTTCTGTGCGCGCTCGGTGGTGAAGGCCTGCAGAGCCAAAAACAACGATCAATGATTTTGTTTTATTTCTGCACCGATTGAATTCCATTACTTGGAAACAGAAGTCTCGCCCCCTTGGGGGAGAGGGAAGCCTACAAGCGCATTTTAAGATTGAAACAGATGTTTGCACCACTTGGTGCCATTTGTCCTTGCTTGCTATGGATGCTCAGCAAGCGGCAGAATAGCACACTCCTCTCTTCAACTTGCGAAACTGTGTATCGTTCAGAAGCGTGCACCCTAATACTTTAGCCAACTGGTAGAGGCAACTGAGGAAGAAAGTTCATGAAACTGGGCAGTGTATAACTCTGAAAGGAAAACAAACACCGAAGCTTAGCGACGAGGCTCGGTTGAAAGCAGTGCCTCCATGTTTGAAGCAATGGTCCGAATCTCTTTCTTGCAAGGAACTTTTTGTAAAACCTCCAACGGATTTTGTCCAGAAGTTGTACCTGATCTGGCCGGTCGTCGTTAGCCATAAAGTGCTGTGGCTTTGCGGCGGGTCTGTTCTCCCCAGCTGCTGCAGCCTTTGCATGACGAATGGCCATGACGAGGGCGGAGTTGATGCGGGGATTGTTGCAGGCACTGGCCGGAATGGCCGCCCGGCACTTGGCGCAATTCTTCTTGCCCATGCCAACCTGCTTCTGGAAGCACTTGAGGCAGAAGTTGTGGCCGCAGGGAGTCTGCAGAAGATCAAAGGGTTAGAGTGCCTGCCTTCTCTGTTTCTTGACCACCACTACTGAGAGGTGACAGTAAGCAGCATCAACAAGGGACTGAAACGAGCTACAAGAAACCGAGCACATGAAAGAGCTGGATTGGCTCCTTTGCTACCTCTAGTTACCAAACCTCATAATCAAGTTCATGAAAGCAGAGACGATGAATCTGGTCTCTGAGTTGATCTATCAAGAGACTACGCCGGCTGATCGGCACTGACCGAGACAGGTCGATCGCAAAGCTCCTGGCAGATAGGGCAGCACAGGGACTGGTCCAGCAGGTCCAGGGCAGAGCTCTTCTCCTTCTTTCTGCTGCTCGCTCCTGCCTCTGCTCCCTCGACAGACTTCCTCTTGGCGCCTTTCCTGCCTGCCGTCTCTTGTGGCGTGTCCTCTGAGGTGTTGATCACTTTGTTACTAAGCAGCTCTTGACGCTTCCTTGCCTTTTCCTGCTCGGTCAGCGTGGTGTCTTCGTTGATGGCACGGACTTGGGAAACGATGCTATTGGCTGCCAGCGAGCTTGGGGCCGCTATTGTCACGGGCCCTGGCAGAAGAAAATGGGGACGGTATAAGCACTTGGGACAATGATTTCCGCATCTGGCCAGTTGCATTCATTCAACCAAGTTCCTCTCTGAAGAGGGATAGCTCTGCCTTGGATGGAAGGACACATTGGGCTTGAGCAAAATCTGTCGGTGCCATGGAGTACTGGGAGTCCAAAATCAGTCTAATCAATTTCTTAGATGAGATAATTGCAGAATGTGTACATGGCGGTTAATACAAGGTACAAGGTGGTGCAATGAGACAAGACTTGGCGCAGGTGAGTAGATTCCTTACCGGTCTCAATGCTCGGACTGAAGTCGCAATCAGGACAATCCCAGCCGCCAAGTGGTGCCTCCGACAAAGGAGATTTCAAGCATCGCATATGCCATGGACTGGCACAGCTTCTGCAAGTCACTAATTCTGAACGTGGTGGCTTCAATGAACAACACATGCAGATGCCTTCTGAATCCAGCGGAAGGTCATGCTTCCCCCCTACGGAAGCCATTTCTGCTTTTCAGTCTCTCTGTCTGAAAAACTCAGCAATGTTCCTGATCGCCCCAGCCAATCAATCACATTAGCTGCTCGTTGAAAACTTTGCTAGTTTTAAGAGCTCAAACGCCGCTGTATACCTAATATGTGTACCGGTATCATGCAACAGCAAACGTTTATTCGTCCTCGAGGATGCCGCCAAAGTTGCAGCAATGCAGCAAAGTGCTGATCAAAGTGCGCCTTTCTTCTCTTTGCAGGGCTGAGTTGGGCTGTGTGTGTGTTTCCTGTTATTTCCTGTTACAGTTAGGTACTGTATTTCCTGCTGTGCAAAATTGGCGGGAAAATGCGCCGTATTCGAAACCTCGCAACCTTCCAAAACCTGGACCATCCAAAGGGAAAGGAGTCTCATCGGACGGCTATGGTTGACTTCAGAAAACCAAACCCTACAGACGCTGGCATGAGCCCTGAAAAGAAGCCGCGGCGCGAGAAACAGCCGCACTCCAGGTGTCGTATCGGTTTCGTCTCCTTTTTGCACTCTTTCAAGTTACAGCGATGGCTCAGCAAAGCGACACCAAGGAGGCATTCTTAGAGAGGCGAGCAAGAGAGGAGCTACGCAATGCAGGCGCAGATGGCTTGTGCATCCGTCAATTGCACTGTGATTAGAAAGGCACTCCATTCCAGCTTTCAAGCTGGTAGTTTCAGTAAGTCTTCTGCACAAAAGTCACCAGGGAAAGCGGATACTTTTCTTTGAGTTGCCATGAAAATGCCATGAAAGACGCAACATTGCAGGTACGAGCTGAACAGAAAGGCAGACAGAAACACTCCAAAACAAAGAAAGACAGAACGCAAGAAAACATGGCGCAGCGAAAGCCAGGTCGTCCAGCTCCAGGGCAACAGAGCAGCACTGCAATGCCCATTCCTGGTTGGAAAACAAAGGTTTTCAGAGTGAGTGAGGAAGACATTGCTTTGCAGCGGATGGAAGGCCCTTTTGAAAGTTTTGACGGGGGCGCCACTCACATTGATGGGAGTTACTTTGAGGGGGGAGGTCAAGTCGTGAGAAACGCGGTGGCGTTGGCGAGCATCACAGGCCAGAAGTTGAGGATATCAGACGTGAGAGCTAACAGGCGGCCATCGGGACTGGCGTATCAGCACTGCACAGGGGTGAGCTGGCGAACCTCTCTTCCACTGTGTATCTGAGTTTTCTTGAACAAATGTCCTGATTGGATGAACCTTCTGTTGAAGAAGGATCATTGGAGAGCACTTACAGACAACGTGCATGGTGCACCACCCCACCACTGCATGACTTTGATAGGCAGCTTTTCCATAACAACCCTGAGAGTTGAGTTTTTTGGGGGAAACGGTTGGAAGCTTCTCAGCATATTTCCAGGAGGTATCTTAGGCAGCTCAGTGTGTTGATCAGGGTCCACAACATCTGGTGAAACCAGCTGGTATGCGTAGGACAATCTTCAACCCATCTGGCTGGCAGGCTTAGCTGAAACTTTCAGAGATTGTGTGCAAAAATGGGAACTGGGGCGAGAATCACAAACTTCTATCTGCAAGAGATTCAGCTCTCTCTTTTTGGGGCTGAAGCATAAGTTTTGCTTTATGACAAGCAGGCAGAGACCAGCCTTCCAGAGGTTGAAGGGCTTCTCCATCAATAGGAAAAGAAGGACTTGCCTTCACTGCTGGGGCTAGCGCACATGGCTAATCCACAATCAACCTTCTTCTAGGTCGAACTGGTGACACGAATCTGCGACGGTGTTGTCGGTGGCGCGGCAGTCGGTTCCACGGAGGTGCGGCTAGCGCCCGGTACAATCGTCCCCGGTCGCTATGTGGCTGACCCTGGGACTGCGGGGGCGACCGCGCTACTGGCCCAGGCTGCCCTGCCGTGTCTGCTGCTCGCAGGACCTTTGCAAAACGGGGGGGAAGAAATGGAGGCATTGGGGAAAGGAGGGGGAGCATCAGCAGCGGCAAAGGAACGTTCGGGGACAGAGTCAGGGTTTGAACAAGAGGGAAAAGCTGGGGAACATGTGACTGCTTCGGTGTCACTGGTGGACTATGCGGATGACACTGAGCAAGAAGAAGCGGGGCCTTCTCATAAGGAAGGAATGGGAGCTGGGAAGGAGGGTTCTGCAGTTACGGGGGGCGGTTTTTCGAGCTTGTTGCTGAGAGGGGGGACTGACGCGAGCAAGGCGCCGCCGATTGACTACATTAAGGAAGTCCTGTTTCCGACAGTGAAGAGGCTGCTTGGCGTAGAGCTGGAGATGCATGTGAAAAGGTGAGGAAGCCTGTACAGACTCATTGTCCTTCCTCACTTCTATCTCTTGTTACTCATCAAATCAGTCAAATGGCAGTGTATAGCCGTTTTGACTCGTGACCCAGAAGAGAGCGTGCTTGGGGTCAATCAAAAGCTGGACAGCAGAGCTAGTAGCTTTAATCGGCTTTTGAAGTGCTGACATCACGTAGTCACGCTTTTGATTCCACGAGCTCGAAGTCGACGCTTTAGAGGTCCGCGACGAGATTCAAGAACCCGGGAAACAGAACCATCCTTCCAGTGGAATCAGCAAACTCTTAGGAAGTTACACATTACATTTATCGCCTCTTCTCCATGCCAGGCAACACTTATTCACAAGCTTTCAAGAAGCGTCTGCAATCGATTGTTCGCATTTGTCCGCAGTTAAGATGGAGCCTTTGCCCCCGCTTCGATTCCAAGCTCGTCTGCCCTTCTCTCTAGGGGCATGATGCAGTTACAGCACAACTAAAATTGAAGTAAGCTGGATTCTGCTGATCATAGCAACGCTCCTCTTGGCAGGCGGGGCTTCTATCCAAAGGGCAACGGCGAACTGACAGTCACGATAACCAAGTCGGTGGAACGCGGCAAGTGCTTGCCAGCATTCTCTCTGACGGAGCGAGGAAACGTGACCAGTGTGCACGTGCGAGCCTTCACAGCAGGGGCGTTACCACAGCACGTTTCGGAAGTGAGCCCTCGAACTACAAAAAACTACTTATTTCTCGTTACTATGTCTCAAAAGCTGCCGGCCAGGTCCCCGTTTCGGAATCAGCTCCTGCTCAAAAGTACAGAGAAGCGGACGTGAGACCCGCTTCTATATTCAGCATGTACTCTTGACTCCTTCCGCTGGCAAGAACTGAAGTACAGAGCTGCCTGATACAAAGCTTGCCGAGCTTTGAAGACGAGCAGAGGCAGATGCGTCTCTACGTCCTCCTCTGCTCGCGACGCGACAGTCCGCTCAAGCTAGAATTTGAGCGACACTTCAGCAGTCTACCAATCACGCCAGACCTTTGCCATGTAAAAGGAAGCGAGAACGGCTTTCTAATTAATTTTGCCTGATCGTAAGCGGCGACTTTAAAGACGTTTGCACTGTTGCAGATCGAGGCTGTCCCTTGAACCACGCATCTGTCTCAAATCTACACGTCCCTTGCCGAGCGCCCGAACTCTGCCCTTTCACTGGTTTTGAAATCCTGTGATGTGCAGCTTTGATGGCTCTGCCCAATCCCTCCAGCCGTCGATGCTTGTCAGAGTCAGATCCTGACCGTCAATAGCCTTCCCCCTTCCAGGAGATGCTCCAAAGCGCGCGAGCCGTCCTCGACAGCTTCTTCTCCTCCCCCGCCTTCGCCTCCCCGCCGCCGGTCCAATACGAGTCCGTCCGAGAGACCCCGGAATCCGCCTTCGGGAACGGAGCCGGAATCCTGCTCCTCGCGGAAACGAGCACGGGCTGCCGGCTGGCGGGTTCGAGGGTTTTGGAGCGCGGCCAAAAGGGAGCCGACGCGGGAAGAGAAGCGGCGGAAGATTTGGTGGGCGATCTGAGGAGTGGGGGGTGCGTCGACAGATATCTGCAAGTAAGTGGGAGAGACTGCGTTTGCGTTAACCTGTGGTGCACGCAGACGTTCATATTGCTCACAGGTTTGGATCGAAGTACCTGCTTTCGGGCATCCGGTCGACTGGAATTTGAAGTTCGGGTCTGTTTGTTGGATTCGTAAAGTGAGTGTCATGACTGGCCGCGCCTATTTATTGCCTTTGAGCTGTGTGTCTGTGCTGGGCATCTGCTCCTGGCCCGGAATCTTTCTAGACCTTGGTTCCGACGATGTGCTATAAGCGTTCTATGAACGCGCAGAAAGCAGCAGGAAAGGAAGAATAAAGCCCTCTAGAACTGATCTGCGCTGTTGAGCTCTTGAAAGAAATACCAGGACCGTAAGGACTTATGTGTTCGATCAGAGCCCTTCGTTCAAGTCGCTGCGCGCCTCAACTCGCACGCACAGAAGAGTGCGTTTCCAATATTCGATAGTTCGCCTTGCAGGGCAGACATGCAAAAATTTGCGCTAAGAAAAAGGAGGTAGAATCAACAAAATCTGGATAAAGTCAGACAGGTCTTCGTAGCGCAAGCCGGCTGAAAGCGCTACTTACGCCGATGTCCTTGCAGGACCAGCTCGTGGTCTTTATGGCGGCCGCGGAGGGCACGTCGCGCTTGCTGATTGGCCGGCCGACGCTCCACACGTGCACCGCCGTCTGGGTGGCCGAGTCGATGGCGTCAGCGAGGTTCCGGTTGCTGACGCACGACGGACAGCCCGCGACGAACTTGTTAAGAGAACCCACAGGGGGCCACAACGAGTTCGGTGACCCTGGGACGGAAAGTTGGATACTGGAGTGCGACGGGGCGGCCTTGAATGTTTGAGCACTCCAAATCCGAGAACCGGACGATTAGCAGGCTGGAGCTTGAATCGACGAGATCAACGTAGGGAGATTGTATAACGAAAGGGTGCGCTAGAGTGGGCCGAAACGCACGCTTCTCACAACTGTGTAGTTATGCCGCTTGCTCCGAATTGGAATGTTGAGAAAGCATCGCGACCTCTCCCGACGAGATTAGGGAGGCCTCTCTTTCAAACAATCATTGCATCGGTGGCAGGTGCCAGTGGGTAATCTAGCTGGCCAGCAGCTCTGTGGTGGTCTAAGTGAGTTCCGGTGATGGATGTGCCTTGCCTTTCAGATGTCAGGTTCGCCACTCAACCATGCAGTCTTCTGCACTGAAGGTTGCTCAGATCACACATGCACTGAAATAGATTTTGGATCCGGTTGTGATAGCATGCAGGCGCGTTTTAAACCGTCACGAACTTCTGTTTCCCAGGCTGATGGCATGCTATTAATTGGGACTTAGGCCGGGCTAGGTACGTACTACCCCATGGTTATAGTGATTTTACTGGGAAGTGTTCAACGGTTGATCACTTGCAATATGATCGGCGACGGCGCATGGCATGCATGGCGCAGCTTAGTATATAGGATATAACACACATGTGGCGTAATGAATGATTATGTAAAACCTAGCTGATCGATGCGGCGCGGCCACGTGCAACTTGTCATTGGAGGTCCTCAAACCATTTTTAGATTTGCACTGGATCGATATAATGTCGCACATATGGATATTATCTCATGCACCAAGATTTGGAAGAGGCGATATATCGGATCGGCGCATGCATGATCCACGTATTATAGTATACGTCAGTGCATGCACACCGTACGTGACGATCGACAGTTTTCATGAAGCATATACTTTCCTCCGAATTACCATCGAAGACTTTCAGGATCCAATCGGACTTGCATGAGAATGATCGGCCAATATTGCCAGCATGGGTGTGGGTACTCAAAATTAAGCTATAATGGAGACCTGATGCATTCGATCGCAGCTAGCGCGCAAGTGTCTGCATGCATGCTTAGCAAGCCCTGTACTTCCTACGCCTTACTGCATGTCAAGTAAGAGTCAGTAATATCCTCAGTCGATATCAGCTCCCGCGTTCTCAACAACCGAAAGGACAATTGACGACTCGCAACTCGCGATGGCTCTCGATCTGCTTGATCTACCCGGACTGATGTAAAATTGCGCGCTCAACTAACGCAGATAAGTCGCTGCCGCTGCGCTTTTGACGTTCCTGCAATACGCACCTTGCATCGACAGTCCAACTCGGAATCCGACTAAAGATCCGACTGAAGCGCCCGCTTTGACGAGGTCCTCATAGTTCTGCGTATCCGACGGTATAACTTGCGGGCAAAGGACCGGCGTTTCACCGGCAACTTGCTGTTCCAGATACGCCGTTGTGCCGTCAAGGTTATAAGCGAAGCGGTCTTGGAATAAGCTGACCCCCTTAGATATAAGCATGTAATCATACCCCGCTGCGTCCGTGCAGTTATAATTGGTCGAATCGCCACGGACGCCCGCTTGGCAGTATGACGGCGTATAATACGGGTCTAGAATCTGGACGTCTATGCCGTCCTTAGACATGTGGACCGCGGCGACGAATCGCTCACCCCGGTCGCGCAGCAGAGCGTTACCGTCCTGCGAGTGGTTCCGGATCGGGTTTGACAGGGCTAGGTACCGGGGGCCCGGCTTCCGCGGACCAACGCCTACGGGAACGGAACAAATCGGAACGTCGTCATTAGAGGAGGCGTTGATAACACCATGTATCAAAACACGAGATATCCTTTGAGCGGGTTGGCCGTTGGCGTTTATGTGTCAGTAAAAAAGGTTAACTACACGTGAACTCCTTCCTTGAGAAAACCTGGTTACGGCGCTCTTAACCAGATTTGGTGCGGCACGCGTGGCTGACTGAAAGACCAGGTTCACAAGAACTTTTCCTGGCTTCTGAGAGATTTCATCATTCGAGACCTACTGCTGTGGACTCTCTTTTTTGACAGCTGACTCCCATCTCTTCTTTGCGGATTGAAGTTTTCGCAAGAGACCACTTTGAATTTTGCTGGCAAGCGCGACAAACGTGGGCTTCGACCGAGGCCTCCTGAGAAGGGGAAAAGGCGACTCGAACAATAGTTGCTCGTCACCACACTATGGTTCACCGGTAAAACATACTGGCAACTCTTGCTTTCACTAAGGGGTGCTTTCACTGAGATAGAAGGGCCCCGGGCACCTCAACTAAAAACCCTAACCTAGTTAATGACCCGCTCCGCACCCGTACCCACCCTAACCACCAAACTAACCCCACCCGTCCCCCGGGTGCATGTCTTAATGAAAGCACCCCTTAGTGAAAGCAAGAGTTGCCAGAGTCGGTAAAACCTCCTTCGAGTGACGTTGGAAGGGAAGTCGATAGGAAGCGCAGACAAGATTCGTAGACCTTTTCAAGAGCCAAAAAGCGAAGCCCTCTGAAAGCGATTGGCGACTCACCAAAGATATTCAGCCACTCGGCTGTGGTCTGCCAGTAGAAGGCCTTGCCGGTGACGTTGAGGAGCGCGCTCGGGAGACTGCCACGTGGCCCGATGCTCGTCGTGTTGGTGACGTTCTGAAAGGCGGACCCCGGCGAGAGTCTGAGAGACCAGCAAAGAAATTAACTGAGCATATTGCGACGGCAAGAAGCTAGAAGAGTCATGGATGACGGTGCGGATTGCCCGAGGTGATTCCGTTGGAGGAACATGTAACGCCGGTCTTAGTACAAAAGTTCTCGTCAAAACACATAAGGGCCATGCACATCGACTGGAATCCAGATAATATGCCTTGTATTCACACGCCTGCACCTTAGATTGAACGTCAATCTGCCACGTGAGCCGTCTTCCTCCGGGTGATAAGGAGCGCTTGATGAAATGAGGCACCAAAATCGTGCACGCAAGAGGGGAGCAAGAATGAAAACGGCGGGCACTGTCAAGATAGCCAGAACGTGACACACGGGAAGGCAGCGCCAGTCTGGCGTCGTTCGGGAAATGAGGCGCTCTGAAACGAGGCCCGACCCGAAAACCATGGAGACAACCGAGCTTCGAGCTAGGCGCTTTGAAACTGAGGCATGCGACCTACCTCCATTCGTAGTTCTCCATGAAGAGCATATCGTATGTCATTAGCTGCCCGGTCGTGCCTGCGATTGACACGAAAGCGTTCAGTCGTTCTCTTCACATTGTACGAGGCTCCCGTTTCGAGGTTTCTGAGCAAGCTTTGTGGTCGCCCGTGCCTTGTACGAGTTTCCCGTTTCACGGCGTCCAGAATACCAACGTTGACAAAAATGACTCCAGCAAGTCGAAGGTTTCGGGAGCGCACACTTCTTTTCCGGGTTGGAGCGGATTTTGAACTGCTTGGGAAAATCACAAACTTACTTGACAAGACCTCATAATATTGTTCTGCAGGCGGGAGAAGCGATCAAGCAAGGCCTCGCTTGAAGACAGTGTGGCCTGCCGAAAGGCAACCGATCTAAAACCCTCTCTCCGTCGGACTGAACCTTGTCGGTGGCAACCAAAGAGAACGGACCGTCGCAAGAGAAGTTCGTCACCCAGACGGGTTGATTTGACTCTGCAAAAGGCTCCAAACTCCTGAGTTAGAGAGCTTTCCAGGCACAACAGCGCTGACGAGGGAATGGGCGGCGCCCACAGCTCAAGCTTGTTCACGACGCTAAACAAACGAGCAGATCAGAAACAAGCTCACTAGGAGTGGTCCATGTGACCAGGATTGCTCCTTTGTGACACAAGGAGAACGTTGGAATCTGGTCGACTGCCCTAGAATCACGGAATCTTGAAAGCGAGTTTTCTTTGTTTACCTGGACTCGTCCGTTTGTTCGTAACCAGAGGGAAAATCGCCGAACAAGAAGTCGAGCTTACGGGCTTTTGATCAGATTTTTCGACACAAGTCACAAATCGGAAGTTTCAACCAGCCCCGCCCTTACCTTCGCGGCACGAGAGTTGCACCGTGACGTTGAACTGGTCGATGTAGGTGACGTCCTGGCCAAACAGGGCGGATGGCACGAACGGCCCGCACACTGCGGGCGGGGGAGTCGGAGCGTCAGCCAGTGACGTCAGCACAAAAGCTGGCGGATCCCTGCGGTTGCAGTCATGACCTACTTGCGCGGTTTCGAGCGCACTCGCAAGCTTAACACGAGTGGCCTGCATGCTGCAATTCGAACATTAGACCACGGTAAAGATTAGCAAAAGAGTCGGAAAAGCACGCCGCGTAAAGAATGAGGGACTTCAAATCGCCAGATTGAACCCGCCAGCTCGACTGTTGCTTCTTTCTACGGCATCATAAGTCGGATCAAGGCTTTACAGGGAAGGATCTTTGGCGCCATGCGCTTGGGCCTGAGTCGGCTTCGTATACGCCTCGCATCGGAGTCTAAAGGTGAAAGGGAAAGCTCAGTCGGTGTGAACTAGTAGCAGTAACCAAAGTGGGTTAACGATCCCAGGCCTTGCGCGCAACGTGCTTCTAATAACCCGGACGGTTTTGTACTAACCATACTCACCAAAAAGCAGGACGATGACTCCTAGCGTGTATGCGCAGGGGCCCCAGCAGAGGCACTGGCAGTAGGAGAGCAGCGTGACCCCCTCTAGTTTGAACACCAGTTGGATCCAATGGAGGGATATCATGAGGGCGGAAACGAGCATGGAAATCGCCGCCACGAGAGACCCCGCGCCGAGGTACCAGTTGAAGAGGAAGGTGATGACAACCTGGCGGAGTTAATAAGTACAGAACTTTGTGTGGTTACGGTGGTTACGGACTGGTTAAGATGCTTAAATGGTCACTGACCAGACTCGAGCGGAATCGAACACAACTTTGAACATGGTCACAACCTGGTTAATGGTCGAAGAGCCACACTTGTGTCCGGTTACATAGCATGGTTAGCAGCCAAAACCATCCTGTAAAAATCCATGAAACGCGTTCCTTTACAACGGGCAGAAGGTAATATCTGGAAAGAAGGGCGCCAATACAAGATTGGAAGCAGCCTGGCCGTTCGCTCGTGTCCTCTATCAAGCCGATGCAGATGAGATGCGTTCTCGGAGTGCTCTAGAACCACAACAAGCTCATTAAAAGACACTTTTGGAACTGACAGAACGGACGGACGGAGAACATGGACTCCCGAGGCGATATCAGAAACCCCTCCTAGCTATAACCCACTAGGATCGACGTTCTAGGCTGACCAGATTCAATAATTCTGACCGTCGATCGTAGGGGTAGTAGTAGAAAGGGGTACCTAGGACTCCGCCGGGAGTCTCTGTTCTCCTTCCATTCGTTCTGACACCAAGTGAAAAAGCTGCGAGCCAACTATAAGGTGAACGGCAAAAAAGATTTGGGTTTAGTGTCAACTGACCTGGACAGTGTCATGACAGCCGCCAAGAAATGCAATGAGGCCAGACAACTTTGAGGGAGGCTCGTAATCCCGCCATCGATACTGCAAGAGAAAAGGTGACTCCTTTGTGGTCTTCGAAGTCGCACTTTTGCATGTCAGTAACGTGTCGTTTTGATGAATTCAAGAAACAGGAGCGCCCCATTGTTGCCGAACACCGCGCTCAAGGATTATAGCGGCCAGTGTTGAAATGGATTCTAAAGACTCTCTTAGTCTACCAAGCTTGCGGCGACGCCTCAACTGGGCGCAAATCAAATGCTTTGGGACAAGAAAGCGTAGAGTGCAGATTTTATGATAAATGCAGGCCTGCTAGCACTACGACAAGAAGCAAGCTTAGCGCCTTCAGTCAGAACATAACGTAGACCAGGATTTCAAGCGCTCGTTCTTGTGAGCTGGCAGCTTTCTTAGGAGGCCTATGCAAAGTGAGCGATTGTCTGTAAGAAAGGGAGATGATGGGCAACAGCAACGATCACCAGACTGGGAAGGCCAGTTTGCAACCCCACTCACTATCAGGCATCCAGCATTCACAAACCCTCAGCAGATTGCCGGCTCATGTCATTATTGTACCACTTACCAAAACACACAGAACAGCAAACTCGACCGCCGCCACCCCCGCACACGCCCACGCTCCGTAGAGGATTCCATTGTGCAGCTTCTGCCGTTTCATTTCATTCTCAGGGTAGGCCGAATAGGTCAGGCAGGCCAGCGTGCTCGGCCGATAGCATTCGACCAGAAAGATCACGTCTGTAACCAGGTCAATTAGCACCAGCAACAGGCGTACTGACGTCTTGATCCTGCCTTGCGGTTTGGCTCTGGATTGCAAGCTGGAGTTGTTTTGCTGGATTCCGCCACTCCTAGTTGGTGACAAGGGTGCGTAATTGGAGGACTGTAGGGCTGGATTAACCAAGCTGGAGGGGTTTTGTTGATTTGTGCCGCTCCTAGTTGGTGACCAGGGTGCGTATTTGGAGGACTGTAGGGCTGGATCGACCAAACTGGAGGGGTGGTATTCGAGACCCGCACTAGCTTCTTTGATAGTAACGACACTTTCGCTAGCAGTATAATTGGACAAATAGTGGTGATATGGGACAGCAGTCGACTCCTGCACGCTTTTGCCCGCTGCAGCTCTAGGTGCTTCATGCCTGGCCGTCTCCATTCTGCCGGTCTGATCCTTTTTAGCAAACCACTGTTGCCAGGCCAGTGTTATTGCTCACTTGATGGTTTCAACAGAAGAAGCAGATGGGGTTCCACATTCTCTGGCCTCCGAACCACTCGAGGAGCACTACACGTTCCTGCTTGGCAGCTGCTCAGCGGTCAGAAGGGGGTCTTCCTCCGCAGACTCTCCAGTTTGAATGCAAGGCGGAACGTTTTTCGGGGAAGCTCTTTGCTTAGCTTGTACATAACTAAAGAAACGGTGAGATGAAGCCCCCTTGAGCCGGCTTCAAACCTAACCGGTGCCCATATTGTGTCCTAGCTTCAAAGAAATGGTAGAATGCAATGAAGGAAACGTTGGATGGAGAAGAGAGCTCCCCAACCGGGCTGCTATTGCCCCGCGATCGCCATTGAAGCGCGTATGCTGGAAGCTATGCTCCTGTCTGGCATAAACTTCTTGTCCCCTAGAATGTTCAGATAAATATGTGCATCGGACGGTTCAGAACCAGAGGAAGTGACATCGACGGTCACTTCCGCTGAATCCCCGGGCACTTTCAGCGGTTGCCCAAGACTGACAAAGTTGCTCAGTAAAACCAAAGTCCCGGAAGTCAAGGCCTAAACCGGAACACCTACAGCCAGTAATTTGAAGCAGAAGACTGCCGCAATGGCTGCCTTGTGCTCAGGGCTTGAGGAGGCAGGGACGGGCTGTGGGGGGAGAGTAGAAGGTCTTTCTCCACAAACTTTGCATTTCAGCAAGCTAGGATTGCTTTTTGTAGAGCAGTCTTGCCGTTGAGATTGCAAAATTTGATGTATAGTTGCCCCGGCGACTTTCAACAAAACCTCCATTGCGCCTCCGAGGCTCCTTTTAGGGTTGAAAGGCACATTTTGGATTTGGGGGGAGAATGTGCATCAAATTTACCTTTGAAAGCAGCTGGTATTCAATTTATAGGTTGCACATAGCTTCAGGTTGCCGTTGGGTTTGAGAAATTTTGGTCATGGGTGCTGCTCCCAGCTCATTTCAGCCATGTCGGCAGCCATGGCGGCCAGTCTGAGGTGCTGGGCAAAATAACAATTTTGGACTTCACCACTTTCGGGCGCTGTCCCTCCTTTCTGCGACCTTTAGGCGGGGGATGGACTCAGCCTTCTGTTCAGCAAAGGCAATCGGCGTACCGTCCGATCTTAGAAAATAGAACGATTTCACCGTTGGATGCCCGGACTGCGCCCGGTACGCCAAAAATTACTTAACCAGGCCAGCGGACGGAGGTTCATGCCAGACAGGATGCTGCGTGAGTGACACCGTTGCGAGATCCCCCTAAGCTATAGACACGCTGCATGGAGGATCCCCCTGAAAGGCACACGTGACGAACCCTCGCTTCCGTGTTCGTTGGATAGAAACCCATCGACGGTTAGAGAATCCTGGGACTTGGACACTGAAAAGTTGCATGTCGGAAGTTTCTAGGTACGCCCTTCACCGTCCGATGATTGTAGGTGATGAGCGGACGGTTCAGGCTGCGGGTCACGTACGGTGTCGAACTACAGATGGCCGCATACCTATCAAAGCTTTTGCATACCCTATTGGGGTAGCTTGCAGGCGAAGCACAGGCTGAACGCCTTAAGCCATAACCTATGGGTATGCGGCGCAGGAGACAGGAGTTGCAAGCAGTGAATGTGGGGAGGAACGCAATGCGCATTCTGAAAGTGGAGGCCGCCAATCTGGTTTGCTACCTATCTGCAATGATTTTCTTTACAGATTACAGTAGATTGTAACAGCAGTGGGGGTTGGCTCAATTTGGAGCACCTCAGAAGACAATAATTTGAATCCCTCCTCTCAAAAACCAATGTGATAGGATTCTCATGGCTTTCAAAGTAGGTGACCGTGTGGAATGCTGGACCAAGGATGAGGGGTTTCTAGACTCTTATTTCGTAGCAGACCTTCAGTCGATCAGCGGCAAGAGGTGCATCGTCAAGTATGTCGAGTTGCTGACAGAAGATGGGGACCGTCTGATTGAGAATTTGCCCCTGGAGCAGCTGCGTCCCTTGCCCCCTAAAATCGACCGTTCAGGAGAGGACCCCAACTTCCTACCAGGGTCTTACATTGAGGCATACCACCAGGTAACCACCAGCTCTGATCAAGTCACGTCATCCTTGTGCTCAGTAACAGCTTGTTCAGTCCACCTCCAATGCTGAATCAGCATGGAGGAACGGCATTGAGGAGCCATGTCTTGGGATTTGATAGAGTTTGCCTTCCAGTGTTGTCCTGTCTAGCTATAATGTTTCTGGTCTCTTGATCGCCTGGCACCTCAAGGATGAGGTTTTGAAGTTTGAGAAACTTAGTCAACGGAGGGAAGTCAGAAGCAAGGGCACCCAAGGGAGTGTGATTGTTTCAAGGTCATACCTGCAGACAAAATGTCTACATCTACTTGGTCAGATTGCAAGGAGAGCGTTAATGTTGTAAAGTATACGCGATTGGATCATCGTCATGGGGCATTATTGCAAACTGTGTGCAAGAGTAGGGCCTTTCCTCAGCTGCGGTCTGAAGCATCTCCAAAGACAGCTGTCAGCATGCTCAAGCCTTGGGGGAATGCAAGGAACACATTCTAGAAGGAACATTTCTTTCTTGTTGGACTCAAGGAATGGTTTGATGTGTGGTCGCTTTGTGAGCAGAGAGGAATCAAAGCAGTGAGGGCATTCCACTAGCATGTTGTTGTGTCCTGCTTAGTTGCTGCTGAATTTTCAATTTCTGCTGGACGTTTGCACAATCAGATTGGAACTCCAGGCATGATATGTTGTAACCTCTGTAGTTCAACCTGTAAACACACCAATCACTTTGCTTTGCTGCAGGATGGTTGGTGGAAGGGAGCAATCCACAAGAAGGTAGACAATGACTGCTACCTGTGCTACTTCCTGAGCAATGGGATAGAGCAGCTCCAACCCACTACCGCGAGCTTAGGACAAGCCAGGACTGGGTTGATGGAGCATGGATAGTCAAAGGTGCCAAAGTGAGTATCTGCACTTGGTTTGTTTCTTTTTCTGAAGATGGAGTGAGACAGATTGTGGTAGATGCTTGTAAGGATGTTGATGCATCATGCAGCGTCAAGGGTGCAGATCAATGCTTGCAAGTCAGCTGATGAAGCATGAGTAATCATGCAAAGAATGCATAGAAGAAGGCAGGCTGCCGTTGTTGATGCTGTTGGTGCAGCGGTGTTGGTGTGTCTTCTGGGTGGACTGTTTCCTTTGACATGACCAGGCTTTCTTCTGCATGCTTTTAGTCCTGGTGAAATATTGAGTTGGGGCTTCATTACCATTCTCAGCTGATCTTATCACTTTTTCTGTCCCTTGTCTGATCTTCGGCCCGGTTGTCACACAATATAGGACAAGTTCTTGGTGAAAATGTGACAAGGAGTAGAAGCTGGAACCAATTAGTCATAGCACTTGAGACCGGAAGACGCGACAACGCAGTCTGTTATGTCTTCCTCGCTCCACATTTGCATCTGCTTCAGGCATCTATCAGGGTCTGATGTTCTTGTAGAGCCTCCAGTGCTTGGCTCTGGGGTATTCACGTCAATCGTCGCTGCTCCGATGTATCAATGCTTAGGCCAATTTGCCAGTAGCTTTTGTTATTCACACCCCTCGTCTCCTGTGCTTCCAGGGGGCGCAAACGCCAGCACCCCCAGCCCCCCACAACATCGTCCACCTGAAGCTGCCCTCTCCTCGCACCCCTGAGTCCCCCTCCCCCCGCGATCGGACTCAGGGCAAGAACAACCCCCCGGCAGAAAGTGCAGCCTCTGAAGGTTTTGTCTTGGATGATGACGAAGAGGAGGATGTCGACATTGAAACCTCGTGGGGGGGGCCCGTTTTGGCGGCGGGGGGTGAAAGAATTGCAGCCACACCCCGGCTGCCAAGCGACGAGGAGGGAACCGTTTCTGATCGGGGGGGTTCACCAAGCGGGGGTGAAGTGGAGCGGTTGCCGATCGGGGGTGCTGCGAGCAAACCGGAGCCAACAGGACATGTGAGACCAGGCAAGAAGAATGGAGCAGGGATTCGGAGCGGAGCGACAGGTGGCGATGTTACACCGGCACAGACTGGTACTACGTCGTCAGGAAAACGGAAGGGGACTGGCAGTGAGCATGAAGGGAGTCCCAGTAGCAAGAAGCCGCGGAAAGGGCCGGCGCCAGCGAAGGGGAAGGGGGGAGCTGCCGAGAAGAAGAACTCAAGCAAAAGCGTGAGCAAGAAGAAGAAGCGGCCTACCGATGCGGTTGGTGACGGCCAGTCGCATGGGAACCGGGAGTCGGAGCCACTTGCATTGGTTCCGTATGTTGACGTAAGCGAGACTAGTTCAGATCCTCGCTGCTACAAGGAGAGTAGCGATCGGCAAAGCCAAGAGTGGACCAGAAAGACAAACGACGATTCGCTTTGTCAAAAGCGGTCAAAGTCTTGTGGGCCGGGTTTCGGGGTGAGCCCCTTCGGAAAGAATGTCATCCAGCGGTGGGGCAGCAAACAGCGGTCGATGCATGACATCTTGCGGCGCAGCAGCGTTGACTCGGCAAAAGGGAATAGAGATCCGTACGGTTTTGAATGTGAGATTGACAGGCAGAGGAGGGAAGCTCTCAGGAACACCCAGACGCAGCCGCAGGAGCGTCACCTGGCGGCCACGTCATCGTGCCAGCTGGCACCTCAGCAGGATTGGCACGAGGCGCCTCCCGATCCCCGCGACCTGGCATACCAGCAGGAAAGCAGTCCCACTCTTTGTTGGGAGAGCTGGGGCGCTCAGGAGTCAACGCAAGGGGATGGATTGGCCGAATGGCACAACGAGCGGCCGTGCTTGCCAACCGAGCCGGAGTTTCGGGGCCGAGAAGACGGGTACAGTTTACCCTCAGCGCAGGCGGAGGTGCCGTTGGAGAGATTCAGCTTTCGGGCGGCGTACGGGAGCATACTGGAGGCGTTGCTGAGGAAGGTGGGTATCTCTGCTGAGATTGGTGCTCTGAGAGCGAGACCTTGGACGGCTTTCCTCTCGAGTCTTTCCGTAAACTTCCGCAGACTCACTGCGGCTGTGACTTTCTTATCATGTGGTGGAAAAGCTCTCGAAGGAATGTGGTGAGATATCCAGAGCGTTCAATGCTATTTGTTCCTAGTGACCCAAGACAGACAACGATTCTGGGACAGAAGTAGACCTGCAGAATTTAAGTCGCTTTCGAGTCGAGATGTCAGTGCCGGACGTTTCCGGGGGTTGGCAGCATGTTCCACAACTCGGCTTGTCCAAGCGGGAGCTGACTTTGTGCCATCGTGATTGCTGGCATGAGCGGTTGCCTGATCCATTGTTCAATGAAGCACCCTGTGCAAGGCTCTCTTGGCCATTCGGCTTTTGACGAAAATTAGTTCTCGTTTGCACTTCCTGATAAAGATAATACCTGAGCTTGCAAGTCCGTGTTGTGCCTGACGTCGCTCTTCTTGAACACCCCAGTTTTGAGCGAAGTATTCCTGGTGCGTCTGCGGTTCTGTCACTGGTTCTCGACATCTGACCTTGCACCGTGCGAAAGAGGGAAATGCGGCCGCTGACGTTCCCCATCTCACAAGAAGGTTACCTCGATTGCAGGACATGCCTGGTTTCCGCCGTGAGTGCCTTCTGGCCGAGCTGCGGTCGGAGTTGCGCATCTCCGATCGGTGCCATGAGAAGCAGTACCAACATGCGCTCCGCCGAATTGAAGGCCTTGCCGATTGAGCTTCTAGATGCCTGAACAGAAAGCAGCAGAGTGCTCGTTTACTGATGAGAAAGTTGGTAGAGTAGCCTGGGCGGTTTATGCGAAAAGTACTTGGGCTGCATGCGTTGCGGATGAGAGTACCGTACCGGCATGGGAATTCACCACCTTTTGGTGTGAAAACTTAATTTCGTTCATCCTGGAGCTTCACCGGGCGCGTTGAGTATATATTTTTCATTTCACAAAAGCGTTTTTTCTGGGTTTTCCACACTCGGAACAAGCCAGAATGACCTTTTTCCAAAAAATTGTGGTTTCACCATATCACAGTCGGGGTGATCTTTGGTTTTATTGTTTTCACACCGACCCCAAAATAATTAATAAAAGTTGAATTCCCATGCCGGTACGGTATGTTATGTACAGGTACTATTCGTGTTTCTTGAGGCCGGTCGCTGAAAGATAATAGTCAAATATGTAGATTGGATTCTTCATTGGCACTTGGCTTGGTCAATTCGAATTCTTTAATTGAGATTAAAAGAAGAGGGATGCGATGTGAGCCGTAGTTGCAGAGCAGTGACATCTGTGGATCTTCAAGCAAGTAGATTGTCACCATTATATGGAAAGTCTGGCAAGAACGCATCGTCAGAAAAGGCCTGGCGATATTAAGTGAAAGCGCTCATCGTTGAAAGCACAATCGGGTGAGATATGGCCGAGTCATCATATGAGTGAGTCTCTCATGTCGACGGTCGCGCGCAAGTACGCATGGCATGTGCTCTTTGAGATTCCAGGTTCTGCATCTGTATGTGACGGGCCGTAGTGCACTGAGTTTACATGCATCCTGGCATGCAATTTAGTACGTCGTACTGCACATGCAGGTTGCATGAGTGACCCGGATCGCCAATCCATGCATGGCTAATTGCATGATCCACAATGATGCAGGTAGCTCGGATTGTATAACCGCTAGATCACTGTTAACAATCAATCGTTATAATTAAGACGAAATTCACTGCGGCACGACCAGTCCGCGCGGAAATTGTTGTATATCACGCTCAGGACCGATTGAGGGTCAATTGCAGATGATTGATACTATAGCTAGATATATGAAAACAGGAAATATGCATTGAAAAGACAGCCGCCTATGATCGGATAGGTTATATAAAACGTCTGCATGGTTTGAATTGCGAAGGCTGACGCGGTGGATTTATGATCAAAACTAACGAACGATCTGATTCACAGTCGCGCAATCCAATGCATTGTCAGTGAAGTGGCAGCCTCTAAGCTAGCACTGAGATTGTCTCTTGAGAAGTATTGCACGAGCAGGTAGCGACCTCGAAACGATACTTGCAAGACCTGGCATGTGTGTTATGCATCTCTAGGCTAACAAGCGTCTTGTCGGGATCCGACTACAAAACACCAGCTATAATAGTACTCAAAGCCTATCCGTCCGACTGATCAACCATGTCTTCAAATGCAGTTCCTACGTTACTTCAAACCTTGTGTAGCAGCAAAGCATGTGGCCGCTGAACACGTTACATCCTTGTTTGTTAGCTGAGTCGGTTGCCGCGCTCTAGTGCAGCGGCTTTCCATCCACTTCTCATCAGTGTACCATTCGGAGCACCACAAGGTCAGTCAAAGACTAGGTTCGCATGGTCAAAACGTGAAAGTTCGCTTACCTCTCAAACTTATTTACATACTCAACAGACAGTACTATCGCGACACTACGTCAGTCGTTACCTCACAAAACAAAACCCGTTAATTAGTCGTGCAAAACTTCACCCCGACGGATCCATACTCCACTTTCCGGCAGCCTGGATCAGCATGCCGACGCGCTACGAGTCGTACTCGATGGCGACGCCCTTGATGCTGACGTCACCGAACTCGGACCCCTCGCCGGCCGCCGGCACGATCGTCACGCCGAAGTCGCTCGAGTCCGTCAGGCCGAGGCTCTCCAGGACGCTGCTGATCGAGATCCTGACGTCCACCTCTGACGTCATCGTCTGTGACATCATCATCCCCATGGGGACCGTGGTGAACGAGCCCGCATATTGGGCGCAGTCGAGGGGCGTGTTGGGAGTGGCATCGGGCAGGTTGATGAAGACGTTGAAGTGCGCCGGTTGGTCGGACGGGTAGGAGACGCCCTGGAGGACGAGGACCTCTTCCTGGAAGTCGGGGACCTGAAACGGGAGACGATAGCGTGATCTTAAAAAGAGGTTTGTTTCTCTTTATTCAATGCCCAAATGGGAGCGAACAGCCATTTAAGACGGCACTCCGGGAACGCGTCGAAAGCGGCTCTCTGGTACTGAGATTAACCAGATTGAGCTTAACTGATTTTGACTTTGAACGGGTACGAAGGCGTGGTTTTGAGACCAAGATTTGGCAAGTGAACTTTGACCCAGATTACGGGACAAATTCAGACTGGAGGATAGAATACCATAAATGTCGAGGCCTTTATCAACCGGACCAACGGACTGCAGAGGGATTTTGGCAGGGAATGAGAGCACGATCTGAGGAATGCAATTAACCAGTAGAGGAATCGAGATGGTGGAGAGCGTTTTCAGCAACAGGACCTTCATGTTCGCATGACAAGCTCGCGGTTATGTACATCTGCCGCCCTTGTCACGTCAGAAATGTACTGGCCAAGGCACTTCAAAGAACGAATCAAAGAAACCAATTGGCGACGAAGCAACAAGCAGCCCAATCACTCCTAAGCAGGAATTAACCAACCCTGGTTAAGTACCAAAAGCCCCTGTAACCCCGTTATTCTCACCGTCAACGCCCCAATCCCCGCTCTCCTCGCCAGCCCGCTAACCCCCGAGCTCCTCAGCAGACCCGCAACCGCGCCCGGGTTTCGCCCCGCCCCTAGATCGGACGGCGGCGATCGCGGCACGCTCGAGATGACCAACGGCTCCTTGTTCAGCTGAACAGCCGGGGATGCTGACGTGGCAGGTCCGAGGGAGTCGAGTTTCTGCGTCACCTCATCCACGGCGAGCAGGCGACGTTGCGAGGGCGCAAAATTACGAGGCGCGGGGGCGGGCGCGGTCGCCCAAGGGATAGGGACGTCCTCGTATGCGTAGCGGAGGCTTGCCTGAGTGTTGATTGCGTCGGAGACCTTGGCCTCGACCTGGAGAAGAGTAACATGGTTTTTTGGCAATTAACCACGGTGGGTTACGGGCTGGTCGAAGCTGATTATATGTTTAGTAAGCAGGCCCGAGCAGTGGCCAGATTTTTCATATGATTATGGCCCGGAAAAACGGACAACGAAGCAGACTCAAGCCTGCTAAGACAGCCCGGTCAGCAGTCGGACCTTTCCTGTGGGTAACGTAATTGCTTTTGTAGTCCGCTATGGTTGGCCCGGGATGGAATGATTCAGGGCAAAAGCTTTGAACTAACAGAAATCATTGCAGATTAAGAGCCGCAAAATAAAGGAACAGAGTGATCGCAGGCGAGGGCAGCAGCACAAGTCGGTGTCTCACAAGGGCTCATATTGATGAGAATTTATGACTTTCTTTATAACACTGAGAAGGGGCGAAAAGAACGAAGCCGGAAACCAAACGGGCAAAGCACCCGGGAATCATTCACCCGACTTTTATTCTTGTTTTCCAAAGGACAGGATTTGGCGATCGCCCATATTGGGATGATGTTACCCAGCTGCCCCCGAACACAAGAAGAGCGAGCTCCGGACGTAGCGAGAACTGACATCAACGGACATCGCCACAGAACACGCAGCGATTCCATTTTGAAATTCCGCTCACCAGGTTGCGGTTCTCGTCGAAGAACAGGAAGCTCGCCCCCAGCCAATCCGGATCGACGAAATTCCTTCGATTGCCCCCCGGGAGCGTCAGCCACACGCTCCATAGCCTATCCAAGTTTCCGTGGTGCCCATAAAAGATTGGGTCCTGGCCAGCCGTGCCAAACTGGCCCATGTTTCCCCCGACCCATACGTGTACCGGGTTATGCGGGCTGATCTCGAGCTGCCCCGGTCGCCGCCGAGACAAGGGATCCCCCGCGCGCAAGGGGTTTCCGAAGAACAGGTTTGCGGTGGTGGCCTGGAAGATCTGCGCGCGCATCGTGGCGGTGTTGTCGCTGATGACCTGCGCGGCGGGCAGTGTCGGCCTGGAGCGGAACAAGAGTGGTTATGATAACCACGAAATGAACCATCCGATCTGTAAGGCTTGGTAACCATCATGAGCCTTTCCTTCAGTTCATTAGTTGTGCTTTATCTGGACAACAAAGTCGAGGATGAAGAACGTAGCTAACACTGACAAGGTTCGTTTGCCCACTCCGAGCTCGTGCGCAATCTAAACCCCCTTACTAACCCAACCCGTCCCAGGCAGGTTGTCTTCATGTGATCTGGGCTTATCATACCTATTCTATAGATCAATCGTAATCATTCTGAAACGGAGAACGAGAATCAAGCGAGTCGATTACTCGTAAAAGAGGACGCGGCGCGCTTGTCACAGTTGATTGCACCATGTGGATCTTGAAAAACAGGGGTACACAGGTCTGAGAATCACAGAAATTTTGGCGTAGGGTCCAAGGGGAGTCCACCCAGGAAGAACCAACGTCGTTGACAAGGATTTCGGATTCAGGGGAAAAGAAACAGAATAATACAATAAACCATGGACGCATTAAACAAGAGATGTTTTAGCACGCTTTCTAATAAGAAGAAAGGTCGAAGCAACAGCGCGGATCAAAAACCCACATTTGAGCCGGTAAAAGCTCGAGATATCGAGCGAATTTCGAAGCAGGGCTTGTAATCAGCCGCTAAACTAAGTTAGCACTCCAGATAAAAGCAGGGTCGGGGTCGACTTTGAGGTTCTTAACCACTGAGACTTGCACTCATATTGAACCCATCAGCAAGGCCAAACGCTTTCAGCAACGCTCTGTTTCAGGAGATCCTATGACGACCATCTTAAGTTTTGTGGTGGCCAATTCCGCGCAAAAACCACCCCTTTTTCAGAAGATTTCATAGAACCGCCATTGTTTTTAACGGAATAATTGTTTCTGAACCCAGTTGATCGCGTTGTACCACTATATTGGCGCAATTTGATTGAAGCTTTGAGAACAGCACTCACGCGGCTCGGTTGAAGGAGACCAGCGTCGACTTTGATTGCTCGGATCTCGTCGAATCATAAAGGAAGGGCAGGCCGGTCTGATCGACGTAGATTTGGGGCGTCCGGCAGTCTGGGGAGGCCGCATTCAGCGCATCGTAATTCCAGAAGGGGAGGGCGAAGCTATCCGCCTGGCTCGCAAACTCCGGGTCCTGTTAACAGGGAATTTGGCAGTTAACCAAGCTTGGTCAACCTCTAGTTTAGTGGTCGTTCCACCATAGAAAAGCTAGCAT